ATTGTCCTATAATTATTTCTTTTTTTTTTCAGATATCCAATAATGTTCTCCTAATATAATGCTTCCAGAAGTGTTGCTGGCCTAAATGTCTTTCTTCCCACAAAGTAACATGCCACCCTGTTTGTAGGTCATGACCTTCTAGTGCTAATAATCTTGTATTTTTGCTTAGCCAGACCAACGCCGCTGCCTGATAATACTTTGTCCAGTCTGGTAGGCCAAATCCTCCTCTTTCTCTAGCATCTTGTAATAGTTTTAATCTGATTCTCGGTTGTTTCCCTTGCCATATGAATTTTGAAATAAGTCTATCCAAATTTGTAAAAAAATCCTTTTTGAGCCAAATTGGTATGCATTGAAATAGAAACAACATTTTCGGAAGAACATTCATTTTAATGGTGGCTATCCTACCCATTAAAGATAACTGTAGTTTCCCCCAATTTCCCAAATCAGACCTAATTTGCACCATTAATTTATCATAATTGTCTTCTTTCAGAGTGATGCATCTCGCTGTCAATTGGATTCCCAAATATCTTATTTTTTTCGTAATCTGCATATTTATCCTTCTGAGGGCACCACAATGCTGATGCAGCCCTGGCACTCTGCAATAAATAAGTGGGTTTTGGGTTGCAGTTTGGGCACTCTGTCTCTAAAAGGTTCGCCATCACTGTCCTAGTCTCACCTGGGACAATGGTAATCCAATGCATTGGAAGGAAGCATCAGATTTAGGATGTGTGCTTTTCCTAGAAAACATAAACCTTTGTGTAGAATGATTGTACAGAGTACAGAGTGATTATACAAAGATTATATGAGCATACAATCTACACAATATATATAATCAATAATATAAATTTTAATTAATATATATATAATAGCAATAGCACTTAGACTTAAATACTTCTCCATAGTGCTTTACAGCCCTCTCTAAGTAGTTACAGAGTCAGCATATTGCCCTAGAAATCTGGGTCCTCATTTTACTGACTTGAGAAGGCTGAGTCAACCATGAGCCAGTAAGAATCAAACTGCTGGAAGTAAGCAGAAATAGCCTGCAGATGTGATGATTGAAATAAATCAGAATCTTTCTGGATTAAACAAAAAAAAAATCTTGGCTCCCTAGCATTGTAGGGACCGGGCAGTAATAGGCTAAGTCAGGGCTTTTCAACCAGTGGTACGGTTACCACCTGTGGTACATTGGCACCTGGCAAGTGGTATGCGACCATCCTAGAAAAGTGGTAGTGGGGGAGGGGAATGAGCTGAACAGGTGGCAGCACCGCACAAGCCTGAGCGAGAGATGGCTGGAGCTGCAGGGCTGTCAGGGCTCAGCAGAAGCGCCAGGATCAGTGCTGCTTTCCAGCTGATCGGTGCTTCTTTGGAGCTGTCAGGGCTCAGTGGAAGCGCCAGGATCAGCGCCAGGCTCCAGCTGGAGCTCAGCGCTGATCCTGGTGCTTCTGCTGAGCCCAGAAGAAGTTGGAATGTTGCAGCATCTCCAGGGTCTTGTGATTTACATTCAGATGCTTGGCAACTGATTCATATTTATGATGGTCAGTGTCCCAGGGTCATGTGAAGTGACAAAAACCTGCTGCAACCACCCAGCAGGCGGGGAGAGAATAAAAACCAAACACCCCCTACCCCACCCCGCTGCCAATCCTCAACAGAAATGCTCACAACAATGAAAATCTCAGACAGGAGGAAGAGCGCGGCCTGGCAGGCAGGCAGGTGTCTTGCTCGGCTGTGGCTTGGGGAGCACTTTTTTCAGTGCCATTATAACTTCGAACAGACAATAAGCAAACTGTTGTAAGTTGAGGACTACCTGTACTTTATCACTTTTTCCCTTTTTTTATCATCAAGTTTTTGACACCTTGCTAGGCGACTGGTGGTACTTGGAGGTTGCCATATCCTAAAAGTGGTACAATGGGTGAAAAGGTTAAAAAGCCCTAGGCTAAGTCACCAAAAGTGTGGAATTTTCTTTTTCTTTTCCTTCTTAGAATGATCATACTTACATGTCTTATCTTATGCAGATGCTATTCAGAAGAATCAAGAAGCTCTGCAAATGGTGTTGACCAACCAGGATATGTTAAAGAATCTTGTGGATCAGGTCCAGAACACCATGTCTTCTATTGAGGATCGAATCCAAGCTATTGAACAAGAAATGAGCATCTTTGCTCAGTTCAACAAAGAAATCAATCAACTTGGAGATGAAACTAACTTCAGTGAGATTGTTTTTTACCCATAAAGTCCAATTACCATCCCAGCCTCCTTTCACTGATCTGACTTTAACATGTATACTGTGCAACAGAAACAATTGTGATATTTGACTTGTATAAATATAAATGCTGTTGTTCCTAGAACCTGTTTAACAACTCTGTTTTCAGTTGGCTTACAGAGAATTATTCTCTCCTGAATCAAAATGTGATTTATCCTAAGATATAATTAGCCTTGGTCTATCTCACTGTTTCTGAACTTCAGCCACTTTTAAATACTGTATGTAGATTTCAACTCCTAGAATTCTCCCAGTGTAAGAGTTGAAATCCATGCATTCTAATGTTTCTGAGGTTGAGAAACATTAACAAGTTACCTAAAGAACCCTCTTGCTGTCAGGATATCTTGCCTATTATATATAGTTAATAATCCTCAGCTATCTGAATGTTTGTTCTGAAGGAGGCCTAAACTATTTCCTCTTCTGAAAAATGGCTTTAAAAATGCTATGCAAGAATCTTTTCTTTTCCTCAGGTGGCATAAAAACATTTTTAACATCTGGAAAATTGGTCAGATATGAGCCAAATGAAAAATTCAGAACTGCCTTTTATTCTGTCCCCATTTCAGCCATGCTAGCTCACATACATAGCACCATTAGTTAATTCTAGTGTTAATTTTGGGGGAAACCTTCCGTGATCAGATTTCAGCTGTGAAACAATATTGATGTTGAACTCTGGTGGTGAGTGACATTCTGTGGTAGTACCATATGATAGCTCTTTTTTGCCACATCCCCAGATTGCTTTACTTGGTGTAAAGCAGGGGTTCTCAACCTTGGCAACTTTAAGACTTGTGGATTTCAACTCCCAGAATTCCTCAGCTAGCAAAGCTGGCTGAGGAATTCTGGGAGTTGAAGTCCACAAGTCTTAAAGTTGCCAAGGTTGAGAACCTCTGGTAAAGTCTTGTGAAGGGCAGCCTCCTGTTGAAAAATATGCTCTAAATGAACACTGGATTAAATGTGTGCTGTCAGAGGTGATGGTTCCAACTTATGGGTAGTTCCGTGAATGTACTTTGACATTAAACACAATGGAATGACATTTATGGTGTAAGTAATATTGCTGCCATTGATTTGGAAAAATTTTCTTTCAGAGGTATTGGTCCAAACTCTTTAAAAAGCCCCCTTTCCCAACAATATTTTTCCTAATCCAAATAAGAAAGAAAAGGCAATACCCACCACATCTGTTTCTGTCTGTATTCTATTGGAAGAGTGGGGGCTGGATCAAAGCAAATATTCTTTCCAAAGATTTAGTTCCAGTAGGACTGGCCTAAAAACCAAATTGTCCATATCCAGTCCCTGTTGATTTAATAAAACTGCCAGTTCTGGGTTTGAGGTTTGATCTAATATTTTTCCCATGTCAGAAAAAACAGCTGGAAAATCTGTCTGGGTTGGAAATATCATATTTGATAAAAGTTGATGGACATATGGGCTCTCAGGTTATCTTCAGGTTTTAGTTTTCAGGGATGATTGTTCTTTTCATGATGTCCACCTCCAAACTCGAAGGTAAATTGAATTGCTCCTACTCTCATTGCAACATACTGGGAAAAACTGCCTTTCTAGGAGTTACAAAAAATTCCTCCGAGATGACATAAAATAATTGCTTGCTGGAATGACAGCTGTGTTCCCACTGTGGGTTGCAGCAGGATTCTCCATTCTCTTCTGCCTCTTCTGCTCTTTCATTCTCAAACATTCAGGGAGCATTCTTAAGTTACTGAATGCGCTCATTTTTCAGCCATGCTAGCTCACATACATACAGTAGCACCATAAATTCTAGGGCTAATTTGGGGAAAATGCTCCCTTGATCAGATTTCAACTGTGAACAATATTGATGTTGAATTCTGGTGGTGGGTTTGATGTAATCCTAAAGAAAAGGGGGGTGGACGGAGCAGAAATTGCTTATTTGTTGTAGGTGGCTTGGAGTCACTAGTTAGGAGGCTAATATTGTTTAATATTTCATTTTCATGTATTTGGGATTACCGTTGTCTATATACCTCCGCTGAGATACGCTTGAGAGGGCTTAGAAATTTAACCAAAGAAAAAAAGTACTGATATTACCTAGTTTGGGTAATGAAACATCTGCAAGAAAGCAACCAAGCTCAGACAGCACTCATTTCAACCCTAAACTACAAATATTCTCCTTTATTAAAAGAAACAAGCCTGTTTTGTAAAAGTGGCGAGAGGCGTCACTATAATTTCGAAGCCATCTCGCCCGTGCGCAGACCCCTCCTCCACCCCTAGGCGCCGGACCTGAAAGGCGCCTCCGATCTTAAACCCCGCTCCTCGCCATTGGCCGGACTAAGTTCCGCGTCCGAAGCGTTCTGTCTCGAGTCGGCGGCGCGTCCCTTCGGAAAGCGTTCCGTCGAAGAAAAGCCCGAGGAGAAGCCGAAAAGGGCGCCCCGCTGGCGCTGTTGGGGACGCAGTCTGGTAACTCCTGTTTCGCATCGCTTATCTTGACAGATAGGATGACAGGCTCAATTGTGCTTCGCTTTCCTCCTTACTTCGCTTTCACTCCCTAGCCTGCGGGCTTTGTTACTCTGGATATGAGCGGTTCCATCAGCTAAAGAAGGGGGAAAATCGGGTCTCTGTCGAAGAAGAGTTGAATAAAGAGGCGGGGGGCAATCGTTTCCCTCCCAAAGTTCTTGAAAGCAGCGCAATTTACCCCCCCCCCACCCCATTTCATTTGGCTAGAGAGAGACGCCGTCCTTTCTCCAGGCGAAATCGGTGTTTTAGGATTTGGTTTCGTCGAGTTCCTAATGGGCGTACCTATTCCTAGTAAAATGGCGTCGATGAGCCCCCATAGATATGCACGACCTTTAGCAGACAACCCAAATTTCTGAATTTATTAACACGGGATGTATTTTCTTACCCACTTTGGATGGGGACGCTCGTTGGAGGAACTACTAAAGAAATGAGAGGCAGGGCCTGCATTCACACATGCCTGAGTTAGATTCCCCAAGAAACGCAAGAAATCACTGCAACATTTGTTCTTTGTAAGAGATTTCACAAACAGATTTTCAGCCGGCAGGAGGAGGTTTTCTTTTTGGTTAAATCCTCTTTTGGCTGATAACAAGGGGCGGTGTGTGTTTTGGAGAGTGGATCAGTTTCGTTTTCCTTTTCCGTTTCATCATTCTGGTGAGGTTTGGGAAATGGTCTGCCTATCAGCTGCCTGAAGTGGTCTCAAGAGGAGGAGAATTATCCTCCTTTATTCCGAATTTCTGTGGACGCCTAGTGCATTGTGTAGAGAGCAAAGACTGAGAGGGTTGCAGATCTGGTGCCTTTTTGCCATCATCTTGGCCAAGTCATTCAAGGCAGCAAGGGGTGGCCAGGTTAGGGAAGGCTGTTCTGCAACATGGAGGCCAAAGGTGAGTTGAGTTTTTATTGGTTCCTTCCCTTTGCTCATCAAAATTGAAAACTACCCTGGTGATTTGCAGATTAAATTACTATTGCAAGTTTTGTCTGATTACGTATCGTATCATCTGCTCCTAGCAGTCACATAGATTTTCTCTGTGATGATTTACCCCTCCTGACTTGTTCTCCCAACTGTACACTCATTGCCACCGTTAAGTTAGTTGCTGGTCTTCCTCTTGGCTTCCTTCCACTTTCCCAGCATTGGAAGTTTTTCTAGAGGGTTGAGTCTTCACATCATGTGTCCAAAGAGGATAATTTCAGCCTGGTCATTTTGTGTCTCAAATGAGAACTCTGGGATGATTGTTGGATGATCCATTGGTTGGTTTTCCTGGCTATCCAGGAGTTTTCTCCAACATAAAGTTCAAAGGCATCAATATTCTTCCTATTGTGCTTCTTAAAAGTCCCAACTTTAGCTTCTATAGAGTGTCACAGGGAATACCATGGCTCGAATTATTCTGATTGACAGAATAACAGTTGGAAGGGACCTTATACCATTTCAGACACATGGTTGTCCAATCTCTTCTTAAAGACTCTAGTAATGGAGCACTCACAATTTCTGGAGGCAAGCCGTTCCATTGATTAATTGTTCTGTCATAAAATTTCTCTTTAGTTCTAGGTTGCTTCTCTCCTTGATTAATTTCCATCCATTGCTTTTTGTCCTGCCTTCAGGTGCTTTAGAGAATAGGTTGACCCTCTCTTCTTTGTGGTAGCCCCTGAGATATTGGAACATGGCTAACATGTCACCCCATAGTCTTTTTCATTAGACTAGACATATCCAATTCCTGTAATTGTTCTTCATATGTTTTAGCTTCCAGTCCCCTAATCGTCTTTGTTGTTGTTCTCTGCCCTGTTCCTAGATTCTCAACATCTTTTTTATATCGTGGCAAGCAAAGTATAATCTTAGAAATCTTCTTTAATGGCATTTTACTGGGCTGTAAGAGATCCCTAGTAGCATTAGAGCAGTGCCTTCTTCTCCCCACCCTATGTATGGCCTACACCAGGGTAGGCAACCTTGGCTCTTTTATGACTCGTGGACTTCAACTCCCAGAATTCCTGAGCCAGCCATGCTGAGGGGAAAGGGAGAGGTTTCCAAGCTGAGCCATGCTGGCTCAGGAATTCTGGGAGTTGAAGTCCACAAGTCATAAAAGAGCCAAGGTTGCCTACACCTTTCATATTTGGGAAAGAATTTGGAGAAATTGTTTCATATCCTTGGAAACAATGCTGTGCCAACACTCCATTGTCCTCTCTCTGCCCCTCTTTTAATAACAGTGGCTGCAGATGGAGTGCTCTTGTGGTTTTGAATGGTATTCCTGCTACTGTTACTGGCATTGTTGTAGTGACCTATGAAATCTCACAACTTCAATAACTTTTTCTGGCTATACAGGTAGTTCTTACGTTGGTGCTTAAAATGGCACTGAACAAGTGGGGGTCGAACAACCATTTCATGGGGATTGCCAAACAACGCAGTCCGCCATTTTTTCCCCCCTTTTCCTTAGCTGTGCTACTCCCTTTTATTCTATTGGCTTTTGAAAGCCAATAGAATAGACTCTCTTGAATAGAGTCTAATTCTATTGGCTTTCCAAAGCCAATAGGAATTGTCCAGGCTGTCTCTGCCCTGCTGAGCCCACCAAAAGTCCCATTCTGCAAACGGTGCTGCACCAGTTGAGTAGTCCTCGACTTACGACCCATTGAGTAGTCCTCGACTTATGACCGGTTGGGGCTCATGGCATTAAAAAGGTTGAGAACCACTGATTTAGAGGCTTTGGCAGTACCGTGGCAGTTTTGGCAATATGTTTGGTGCTGTTTGTGGCTTAGGAGTCCCTAATTCCAAACTGTTTTTTTTCCTTGACAGCTCTTGCCATTATGAAAGAGGAGAACGATCTCCCTCAGCCATTTCTGCTTGATGAAGAAGGTAATGAGCTCAAACTGGTTTGTAGATCTTCCTACCTGAAGAAGCTCTGGGGGCTCCGTTACAAAAATCAGTGTTATGATTATGCCACCGTCTTATGGCATAAGATAAAGAGCGGCATCAAAAATAATGTGTTCTGCTCCTCCCACCAGTACACAATAACTCTGCCTCCCATCAAAAGGCTCACCTGGGCTTTCATCCTGGTTGTTTTGGTTGTTTTGTTATTTTGTTATTATCAACAATGTATCCATTTGGGTACAATGTGCCCCCCCAGCATTGTCCATGCTAAAGGAGATAACACAGAAGCAGTCCCTAAAAATCTCACTGTGCCAATCCTGCTGGAAGCCAAGAAATCCGAACCATTTTGTGAAGCTGTGGATAATTGCTTCGACAAAGCGATCAAGGAATTCATGTCGGAGCCACGGATTCTACAGGAAAATGCCAAGATGATCCTCGAGTGTAATGGAACAAGGAAAGAGTTCGTGTCTGGAAAAGGAGAAAACCATATCGAGGTGTTCTGGGTGGACGGCCAAACACATTATCAGGTCAGAGAAACCAATTCACAAGTCTATGTGGCAAGGCTGGGGCGCCAGCATTTACCACTCAGCCTTGGCAGCCTCTTGAATGTCAACCAACAGCTGGCCTCCCGCGAAGGATCAGAGGAGCTGAGGCGGTGCCTAAATAAGACCATAGAGGTATTTCCCAAGGAACCACAAGCTGTGCAGAACGATGCCGTGTTGGAGGTCTCATGCGGAGGGAGCAATGTCACCTTCCGTTCGCAAGCTGGGAAGAACGAAATCAACGTATACGAAGATCATGGGAAGATTGTATTTAACGTAAAAAGCAGAGGATGGGCTTGGTGGGCCAGACAATTTGTAAGGCACTAAGTTAAGGAACGATATCGGAGAAGCCAGTGTGGGTGGAAGCTTGGTGATTCTGCTGTAGGGACAAATGATTTACAGCAAGTAGCCCTTGACTTACAATCACAATTGCTGTCGCTCAGCAAGGCAGTTGTTAAATTGAGTTTTGACCCATTTTACGATCTTCCTTGTGTTAATTGCTAAGTGAATCACTTGCAGTTGTCAAGTTTGTATCACGGTTAAGTGAGTCACTTCCCCATTGACTTTGCTTGTCAAAAGGTCGCAAAATGGGGATCACGTGACCTTGGGACATCACAACCTGTCATAAATGCATGTCGGTTGCCAAGCGTCCAAATTTGGATCACATGACCCTGGGGCTGCTGCAATGGCTGTGTGAAAAACAGTCATAAGTAACTTTTTTCAGTGCCTCTGCAACTTCAAATGGTCACTAAACGAGTGGCTGTAAATCGAGGACTACCTGTATTGCAAGCAGAAACGTCTCCTCACTGTACCTTCCCACATGCATGAGTACTGGGATCCTACCAGTGTACTGAGCCTATCAATCATTTTGTTGCTGATAGATTATTGCTTGTTTTACATAATCAGGACGTTTGATCAGTTCATAATTGCAGAATTTCTTCTCTAAGTAAACAGCCATAGATAAATCATAACTCCATATATAAAAAGTAACTAATGGTCAAAATCATGCAGGGCAATCGCTTTATCTCCAATCCAGGAATCCATCAATGCTGTATTTTCCATATTGTATTCTTCTGTTCTCTTTTTGATTATTGCTTAAATAAAGTTTTAAATTGTTACTGGGTGTCCTGTTCCTTCTATGATATCCTAGTCCAGGGCTAGGCAACCTTGGCTCTTTTATGACTCGTGGACTTCAACTCCCAGAATTCCTGAGCCAGCCATGCTGAGGAGAAAGGGAGAGATTTCCAAGCTGAGCCACGCTGGCTCAGGAATTCTGGGAGTTGAAGTCCACGAGTCATAAAAGAGCCAAGATTGCCTACCCCTGTCCTAGGCTTCTAAACACTTCCTTTCTAATTCAACTGTTAGGATATGTTTTGGATACAGATCCTGCAATATTTGTATTAGGATGAAGATAAAAGGGAGACAAGATGGTTTCCCCCTGTCTCAGCACTTGCTTTCTCACAGCAGAAGGGTTTGGCAGTGATATTTGGTGGTTCAAGGTGTCAGAGGGGGGGAGAAAAACCTACCAAAAGAGAGCTGCTTTGCCTTGGGCCACCAGGAAGTTATTAATGATACGAGTCTGTGAAGACTTCATAAAATATCTCAGACAAAAAATCTGATAGAAACAGGTCCAGAAGATGATTAATAGAAAGGTTGAGTGGGAACACTGTACAGGTAGCCCTCAAATTACGAGCACAGTTGAGCCCAAATTTTCTGTTGTGAAGTGAGGCAGTTGTTAAGTGAGTTTTACCCCACTTTACAACTTTTCTTGCCACAGTTGTTAAGTGAATCACTGCAGTTGTTAAGTTAGAAACACAGTTGTTAAATGAATCTGGCTTCCCCATTGACTTTGCCTGTCACAAGGTCGCAAAAAGGGGTCACGTGACCTCAAGACACTGCAACCGTTAGAAATACGAGTCTGTTGCCAAGCATAGGAATTAGCACATGACCATGGCTATGTTGCAACGGTCGGTGTGAAAAATGGTCATATGTCACTTCTCAGGGCCGTTGGTAACTTTGAACAGTCACTAAATGAATTGTTAAGTTGAGGACTATCTGTCCTATAGATGGAAACAGAAGAAGAGGCACTGGGTAGAAAGTGGAGCAAGCAAAAGGAACAAAGATTTTCTCAACAGCTACAGCAGTGTTTCTCAACCTTGACAATTTTAAGGCATGTGGACTTCAACTCCCAGAATCCCACAGCCAGCTTTGCTGGCTGTGGAATTCTGGGAGTTGAAGTCCACATGCCTTAAAATTGTCAAGGTTGAGAAACACTGGTCTACAGCTTCTGCTAAAGTGGGAGAAAATTTACATTTTTGTACACTGTAGCTTGAACTGCTTAATTCAGAAACATCAGAAAGCTAACTCTAGAGTTGGAGCTTCAATCAACTAAATACTTGGTACAAAATAATTACCTGAATTGTTAGAGGAGTATAAAAAAGGACAGTCCTGAGCTGCTGTGTGTAAAAGTAGATCTAAAGTTTTTACATTTTGAAAGTAATATTGTTTGCCTGCTCTAAGAAAAATGCAGTATTCATTGTATCTTGGTAACAGTCCCACTTAACATTCAAAATGTGTTTCCTGTAATCTCTTTCCAGTTTCCAAACTTGAATATAACTTTGTGCAACTCCAGATTTAACTAGCGAGAGAAATTTCTACTCGGAGATATTTTTTCTTCTGCTGGAATAAGCAGATCTAATGCTGTTTAAAGAACTGAATTACAGTATAAACATTATCAATGCCTCTGGCTAAATTTGAACTATAGTGCCAAAGAGATTACTACAGATAATGTCATAGACTTCTTTGAAATAGGCCTGGTTTAACGTTTTTGAAAAATCACAGGGGTTATATTGATGAGTAAAAGTAATAATATAGCAGCCTGATTGCTTGTGAAATTATTATTAAAGGCCACAGACATATCTGATCCCAGATCACATCCAAGGTGTTAGCTTAACAGTAAGATGGAGTCTCTTATGCAAAGAGAAAGGTTTTTTGGCATAACATGATGATTTAACTGAGATATTAAAATCACCCAATTGAAGGTCTCAGTTATTTCAGGTTAACAAGAGATAAATTCTTCAACAAGGTTGCTGATAATCACGATTAAACAACCAATTGGAAATTTCAGTTTTGCAAAGTAGAAACTCAGATGAATCTAAAACCATTGTTAAAAGACACATTTGCAGATGCTTCTTTATAAGTAAGTCCACCCTGATATTTTGGCCCAGGACTCGTAATAATTCAGAACTTCCATTAGCAAAGTATTGCTATGCTTAAAACTACCATCCAGACTTAGCCACAAATAAAAGAAGATTGTTAAGAACTTAGATTGAAACTGCCCTGGAAAAAGTGACCTAGGACTGGTCCTCACACGTAATAGTAATACTACTACTAATAATAATAATAATAACAACAACAATAATAATAATAGTACCAATAGTAATAGGCGCCTTGGGTGCAATCCCAAAACAACTGGAGTACCACCTGAACACCATTGGCATTGACAAATTCGCTATTAGTCAATTGCAAAAGGCGGCCTTACTAGGAACTGCTTCCATCCTGCGACGATATCTGTAATACCATCAAACATCCACATCTGCCTATCCCAGGTCCTGGGTAAGGACTCGATAGGTAGACAAAAAGCCAAATCCAGTCTGAACATCTGGCTGACTGTGCGATGATCCATAATAATAATAATAATAATAATAATAATAATAATAATAATAATAATAATAATAATAATAATAATAATAAAGTTGGAAGGGACCTTGGAGGTCATCTAATCCAACCCCCTGCTCAGGCAGGAAACTCTACACCATTTCGGACAAATGGCTGTCCAATCTCTTAAAAATTTCCAGTGTTGAAGCCTTCACAGCTTCTGGAGGCAGGTTGTTCCATTGACTAATTGTTCTAACTGTCAGGAAGTTTCTCCTTCATTCTAGGTTGCTTCTCTCCTTGATTAGTTTCCTTGATTAGGCTGTGACGTACAACTGTGACGTACAACAGCCTCCCTGTGTTCACATGATCAAAATACAGGCACTTGGCAACCAGCATGTATTTACAATGGCTGCAGTGTCCCAGAGTCATGTGATTGCCATATGTAATCTTCCCAGGTGGCTTTGAGAAGCAAACTCGGGGGGAGGGGGGGCAGGTTTGCTTAAGAACCATGTGATTCATTTATCAACTGCAGTGATTTGCTTGAAATTTGTGGCAAAAAAGGTCATAAAATCAGGTGACTCACTTAACAACTCCCTTGCTTAGGGTGGATAATAATGTTTTTTTTAAAAAAAATCAGATTTTTTTAAAATTTAAATCGGATTTTTTTAATCAAATTTATTTTAATGAAATGCTTTTGGAGTAAAACTCTATCTAAGCTTTCTATTTAAGATACATAAATAATTTAGTTTATTCGGCATGAAATGGAGCTTAGTTATGTAGCATGAGGCTGTATATTCTGCAATATTTACATTTTTGGTAAACTCATTCAATGAATCCAAGCTCTGCAAGCTGACATAACATGCACTGCATTGATGCATTCATAATTCCACAGTAACCATGAGATAAATCATAAAACTGGTGGAACTAGTGAACTGCTGGAAGTCACTTAAGTACTTAGATTCAGAAAGTGTTGAAGTCACGATTTCACTTTTAACTGCAGTGGCCTCTTCTGTTGGCGTTGAAAGAATATTCTCTTCCTTTGGATTTGTTCACTCTAAATTGAGAAATCGTCTGGGGCCTGATAAAGCAAGAAAGCTTGTTTTTCTTTTCCAAATCATGAACCAACAGGAGAACGAAGATGAAAATGAGTGAGCTGCAGAAGACCATGTTTGAAGTTTTTTTTTTAAAATATGGAATCAGCTAATATATTCAGTTTAAATTATTTTGTTTTTCAAATATACTGTGTTTGTGCACTTCAGTTACCAAACATTAATGTTTAAGCAAATACAAGAATATCTAATATAATGTTGTTTTAATTAATTAAAAGAATTTGAGTAGTTCTCCAACTATGTGTGATTAACCTATTAACCTAAAATCGGTTCTGATATTGCTGTTTTACTAACCTGACAGCTTCATCTTGTTTGCAAATAATAATATTAAAGATTCTAACTACCAGCAAGAATGACTCCTTACATTTAAAGAGCACCTGTCATTTCAGATCCATCATGGCAGCGCCTGTTAGCGGGCATCCACTCACCTGCTGCCCGCCATGTCCCTCACCTTGTTGTGTCACTGCCACATCACCAGCCATCCCATTAAAGTGAATGGGACTGTTGGCGAGTCAACAGCAGGTCAGAGGAGGAGCTGTGGTGAGACAGAGATGACAGTTGCTTTTAAAAATTATGATTTAAATCGAGTTGATTTAAATCAAGCCTTTTTACGAGTGATTTAAATCATGATTTAAATCAGCTTGATTTAAATCAAATCCACCCTTGTTAGGAAGCTTCCCAATGGTGACCATAAGTCAAGGACTAATCTTAGTCTGTGCTTGCCTAGTTCTAAAATTTTCAAATGTAACTTTTCCAATAAGAAAAGCTTGCTTTCTCCCCATCCTAATTGACACGTTATCTCTGTTGCTGAGCTTAATGTTTGTCTTAACATTCCCTTCTTATCTGTTACTTGACTCTTTGCTTCTCTGTAATAATAAAGCTCTATCTTCCCTTCTAAAGTAGTATTTTTTTCTAACAGGCATTTAACTCCAAAAGAGAATGCACCCCAAACTTTGGAAAAATAGCTGCTCATTTATAAACATTATTAAAATTCCTACTGCCTTGACACAGAGATGAAGAACAAGAATCTGGTTTCTGATCGTGAAAAGGCAGGACTGTTTAGCAAGCTAAGATTTCCAGAAAATATTCTTTTTTGAATATGTACCAAATGATCAGAAGAAGAAACAGGGCAGTATTGATGGAGAATTACTTCTAAATAGAGAGGGGTAAATACATCTAGTCCTTGACTTATGACCACAATTGAGCCTCAAATTTCCTTTACTAAGCAAGACAGGTGAGTTTCCCATTTTACAACCTTTCTTGTCACGGTTGTCAGTTACCGCAATTGTTAGTAACATGGTTGTTAAAAGAATCTGATTTCCTCATTAACTTTGCCTATCAGGTCTGAAAAGGTGACCACATGACTAGAACACTGCAACCATCATAAATATATGCCAGTTGCCAAGCCTGAATTTCGATCACACGATCACGAGGCCTTTATTATCTCACTTTTCAAAATTTCCCAAGCCTCTTGAGTTGTTTTCCCCTGGAGGATTCCCATCCATGGAATCCTTTCCAAACCCTAAGTTTATTGAAATTAGTTCTCTTGAAGTCCAAGACTCTAGTTTGACTGTGTTGTATTGCTTGTGCTTCCATAATGTTGAATTCCAGTATTGCATGATCACTTCCTCCCAAGGTTCCTATGGCTTCAATACCTTCTATTATTTCATCTCTGTTAGTGAAAATTAGGTCCAAAATGGTTAATCCCCTAGTTCCCTTCTCTACCTTTTGGGAGACAAACTTGTGTGCTAGGTTTGTCAGGAATCTGTCTGATCTTCCACTCGGTGCAGAGTTTGTCTCCCAGTTGATGTCAGGGTAGTTAAAGTCCCCCATTACTATTGTGATGTGCTTCCTACATACCTTAGTTAGCTGACTGGCAAAAAGTTCATCTATTTCCTGTGTTTGGTTGGTTGGCCTATAGTATACACCTATGGCAATGTCATTTCCCCCCCACCCTTTTATATTGACTCATAAGCATTCAGGAGTTTTCATCATTGTTGTGCTGTATTTCTGTAGAGATGTAGTTACTTCTTATATAGAGAGCAACTCCACCTCCTCTTTTATTTGGTCTGTTTCTTTTAAATAATTTAAATCCCTCTAGCTGTGTGTTCCATTTGTGGGTTTCGTCCCACCATGTTTCCGTTATGGCAACAATATCATATCTGCCCTCATTAACCTGAATTTCTAGTTCACCGTTTTCTGTTCATACTCTGTGCATTTGTGTATAGACATTTGAGTCCTTTATGGCTGACCCTGTTTACTTCCTACATAACCTGTGTGGTGCCCGAGTTCCCCTAATGTCTTTCCACCTATTTGGTTAGTTGCACTGTGTGGCACTCGCTATTAAGAGCTTGGTTTTGCTTGACAGCAAGGTTGATGTTCTTGTTCACACACATATCTGCACTGATAGCCCTATAATTTTTAGATTGCTGGGGACAGGGATGTTCTGTATCAGTTAGCTCACTGTCCCCGCTGTTTAGTTTAAATATTCCTCCAGAAAATCTGTGAATTTATAGCCAAGTAACTCAGTCCCTTTCTTTGATGGATGCAAACCATCTCTTTTGTACATTTCTTCATTGGATCAGCTGCTGACATCGTGACTAATATATCCAAAGTCTTCCCCTTTACTCCACTTCTTTAGCCACATATTGAATTGTGCTATATGCTGGCCTTTTCCATTTTGGTCCTTATTATAAATTAGTATTTATATTTTTACTCTGGGACTGAGATGTTGTTTTTCTAAAGGAATAAAATTGTTAGGAAAAATCCTAGTGTGGCATATCTCAGCTCACGACCAGAACATTTTCAGCTGATCTTTTCATTATTTCTATAGCAATCCTTTTTGTTGTTGTTGTTGTCTGAAATGATCTGTGTTGAACTTCGAAGTTTTATACTTTTGGCTTGCCTCAAATCTGAAAGTTAAACCTTGATACTTTCTATATGAAGTACTCAGAATTTCATGCATAATTTGAAGAGAAATCTGATCTAATGGTGAACATTGAGAACTAATTAAGGACCTGCCATTTCCCCCTGCAGTTTTTCATTTGGAATTCCTTTATCCAGAATAAAACCTTGGTAGCTAAAATGAAGGCAGGTGAGGTTCCTTTATCAAAAGCTTATATTATTTTTGTTAGGGTGGTGGTGGTGGTGGGGTTTTGGTCAAAGGAGCAGGCAAAAGAATTGTATACACATAAAAGGCACGGAATATCTTCCACTTTATTATTTTGCATGCCGTTTAATCACACATTTGCTGTTATCTTTTCCTGTCTGTATTTTAAAAACATTTTGCCCAAACAATACAAAGCAAGACAGGCTTTCTTTCAAAGGGAGGTAGCCTTCCATTGCTTCTGCAGGGTATATTGGGATTAAAGTTTCCATGATGTACAACCATTGGCCATGTTACATGGGAACTGTATAAGCTGTCCCCTAACAAACATAGAGGGCAATAGGTTAGCAAAGACTGGCCTGAGAGGGATCAGCACAGATCCTGTAGCTAACAGGGTGATAGCACATCAGTCAACCCAATTTACCTGGATTCTGAATATGCAAACAGTTTTTGGCTTTTGTCCAATGCCCATCTTCTCAAGAGAGATGCAGTTGAATAATGGGGGAGGAGAAGATAGGTGGGAAGCTTTACACTGAAAATGTCCTCCTGTGTCTATTTTGGCTCAGCTGTATCTGTCCATGGGCGCTAGAGATTATACTGAAGAAAGAACAGGACTGGCGATTATATTTGTGGCGAAATACTGGAAGACATTCAAATTCCACTGAAAGTGACTGTATATTTGACTTCTGACTTCTATTTTTTTTTTGAATCTGGTATTTCCCTGACCAGGCAAATGCCATAAGCTATTTGTCTCACCCTCCAGGTAAGATGGCCAACACTCAACCTACCTCTGAGGGAGTCTACTTGCATCTGATGAGGTTACATAGCTGAAATATCACAGGCAAAAAAACCTACGAACTGAGAGAGATTGTGCACTAGTCCTTCTGATGCAATCGCAATGCCTTCAAATCGTAAGACATACCAGAAAGCAATTCCTTCGGTAGCTAAATCAATATCATGACTGATTCAACACTCTTTCTTTCAGAGGCCACCTCTGCCATTTGGTTGCAGCCACAAGTCTGAAATGGTATAGGGCACGGGTTGGCAACCCGCAGCTCTGGAGCCATATGGCTCTTTGAGCCTTCTGCGGCTCCCAGCCTCCTCCACCCTTTGCAGAGAGACAGACAGAGACAGGCACTTGCGCTTTTCTCTCTCTCTCTCTCTCTCTCTCTCTCTCTCTCTCTCTCTCTCTCTCTCTCTCTCTCTCTGTGTGTGTGTGTGTGTGTGTAAAAAACAGAGTGGCCTCACACTGCTCTCAGACAAGCTGACAAGCTTATTGGGCAGGGCTCCTGCCTTTGCTCATCTCAGCAGGAAGCAGCAGAAAACAGGAAGCAGCAGCTCTCTCTCTCTCTCTCTGAGTGGGGGAAGAGGACTGGCAGACCAAGGGCAGGAAAGAGCCAGCCCAATGTGTGTCAGCTTGTCAGAGAACAGCATGAAGCCAGCTTGCCAGGTGAGCAGAAGATCGGAGAGGGAGAGGGGGGGGAAAAGGAAGGGGGGTAGAGAGAACTCATGCACAGCAGCCTCTACTTCTTTTTAATTAAACTCTTCAATCAAGCTCCCCCCCTCCTGTTTTTTCCAGCTCCCAGTGTTTTCTTTGCTCTGGGAAACCGGTCCAAGTGGCTCTTTGAGGGTTTAAGGTTGACGATCCTTGATATAGGATTTCCTGCCTGAGCAGGAGATTGGACTAGATGACCTCCAAGGTCCTTTCCAACTTACTGAATAAAAAAGCTTTGGCAAGCCACTGGTGGCTTTGAACAATCAGCTTGGAGAGAATTATTTTCTTAGCTTCCCTGGCTTATATAGCATTCTCACTATGCACTAGTTTCCTCCTATTCTGCATCCACTCGACCTGCCAGTAAAAACAGACTGTCGAGTAATAGATCATTTCCCACCATTTATACAAGCAACAGTTAAACCTGGTTGTAACCCCTTCAAAGGGAGAACCCCTCCCTCTACAATGCACAGAAGGTCCCACATCTGACCAGCTTTGCCCACCGCCGATGCAATCTTATATGGTTCATTGCTGAACACTATACTAAGCTTAAAGAGGTTTTTCCCCCCAGATGCAACTGCAATCCAAAATTTCAGAAACTGAAGTTGCAGATTACAGAAAAGTACAAGGTCTTTGTTGCCCCTTAGCAGAGGTTTGCCTTCTCCAAACCTTTCCTAGTGTAACGTCACCTTAATAGCTTTAGAAGCCTAACATTAAACACTAGGTGTGGAAGCTCTTCCCTTCTGTGATGCTTCGCTTCTTCTGGTTGGGGACGGTGTTGCAGGCCACTGACACCGGCTCACTTTCCCACAGAGAAACCGAGTTGAAAAAACTCTCTCTACACAATTCAAGAGCTAAGCGTAGCAAAGGAAGGTGGGGATTAGGTCATTTCCTTATTCCCAGTCTGTGGGCGGCCGGAGGACTAGGGGGGCCGCATTTTTGCGCCCAGCTCGGATTCCCGGGTAGAAAAAAGGCCAAAGTTTCTCGGTGAAAGTATCGGTAAAAGTATACATATGGGAACGGTCCGTCACGTTGTAGAAGGAGAGCTTGCCTGCCTCGTAGTCCAGGAAGACGCCTACTCGCTTAGGCTTGATAGTGATGTGCAGCGGAGTGAACGGGGTTGTGGTAGCTGCGTATTTCTCTCCATTGAGTAGCCGTACCCGCCAATAGCCAGTCTCTGGGACAGAGGTTGTTTCCCCCTTACGGCTTACTGAGTCCTTACAAACCCCCAGTGCCCAATGAGTCTTTTCTCCCACCTCTACTTCCCAGTAGTGACGGCCTGAAATAAAACCTTCTGTGGCCAGCACACAAGGATAGATTGTAAAACGTTTTGGGCTATCGGGCAGATCTCGCAAGCGCTGCTCCACAAACTTGACGCTCCTGCGGTCCTCGGAGAGCAGCAAGTTGGGGTGAGCCGTTTCTGGGTCGAGGGTCAAATCTCCTGCAGGAAAAAAAGGACATATGTTTGTCTCTGCCATTTCTCTTCTGATTAGACTATTACAGCAGAGGTCCCCAACCTTGGCCACTTTATGACTCGTGGACTTCAACTCCCAGAATTCCTCAGCCAGGCATGCTGGCTGAGGAATTCTGGGAGTTGAAGTCCACAAGTCATAAAGTGGCCAAGGTTGGGGACTCCTGTATTACAATATGTCCCCTCTTCATTTGGCTTGTTTTGATCCCTCATCCAATTTGGATTATAGCCATTAAAAAGTCTTTAAGACAGTGGTTCTCAGCCTGTGGGTCGGGACCCCATTTGGGGTCGAACAACCATTTCATGGGGGTCGCCAAACAACGCAGTCCGCCATTTTCCCCCCCCTTTCCCTTAGCTGTGCTACTCCCTTTTATTCTATTGGCTTTTGAAAGACTCTTGAATAGAGTCTAATTCTATTGGCTTTCAAAAGCCAATAGGAATTGTCCAGGCTGCCCTGCTGAGCCCACCAAAAGTCCCATTCTGCAAACGGTGCTGCACCAGTTGAGTAGTCCTCGACTTACGACCGGTTGGGGGTCGCGGCATTAAAAAGGTTTAGAACCACTGCTTTAAGATATGGTTATTTCTATCGGTTCCCCGGCCTTCCTCAATAGCAACATTCAACAGATTCTTTTACACACTAAAACGAAGCTGCAAATATTTTTTTAAAAACAGTAGCATTCACAACCAACACAGGTTCAATCTTTTAGTAGGCTTGGACTTCCGTAGAGTGGTCTTAGTCCTCACCTGGAAGCCACTTATTTTGCTTTATAGAAGAATTCTGTGAAATGGAGAGCTGTTACTGTACAGTTGCCAGGCTGCTTTCAACCCTTCGAAGCAGGAAAAAATACCTTGCAACCTTCAGAAGCATAAAAAACTCAGAAAACGCATTTAAAACATCTGCCTGGTGCAACGGGCACATCAGAGTGAGGACACAGAGGGTCTTCCTTTGGTGAGGCATGCCCCAGGCCAAAAAACAAACAAAAACAAAAAAAGCTTCCAACTGAGTGTGTCTTACTTTAGGAATGTCGGAAGACAACGATAGCACACAGACAGGGTGGGCTGCAAGCGAGCACACACCCCTGACTCCAGTCCCAACCCCAAAAGATCCTCACTTTTTGAATTTTGCTTAAAAATGCACCGGAAAACAGTGCATCTTCTAACGTACCAACAGAATATTCTCTGCCAAGCAAACCCCAGTTACCAACTAGCAGACATTTTGTTCACTGCTTAGCAGACCCCTTGAGACCCTGCTGCTAGTTTGGCTGCCTTCGTTCCCTTGGGTGCCACGTTACCTAGAAGAAAATGAATGGTGGTCTGATCCAGCAAGGTAAAAACCTGTACCTTCAGTTCTCTGAGTGGTCGGTCCTCTGTGAATTTAGAAATGTAATTATACTGACCATGCAGGCATTCGGTTTGGACTATTGCATATCTAGGATTTTACACAAAAATGTGTCCTTATACCAACAGGCATCTTCAGATACAAATGCCACCTGTCTCATCAATTTCAACATAATGTAATGATACCAGTATGATTGGCACCAGAATAGAACGCCCTGTAACACTAACAGATAAACCACTCAAATAAATAATTATGGGTAAGAAATCAGCTCTTCGTGTGTGATTTACAAACATAGTGATTTATAAAACTTATACTTAGTGTGGAAGTAAGTGCTCAGAAAGGCTGAGGAGAGGACTGTCTTGAAATCGGAGTCTTTTCTGGAGCTAATAGAGAATCCATAGTGCTCATAAAAGATTGAGAACTGAGATGAAACAGCTACGTGGCATTAAGGCTAGAAGTGGAATATTTAAGAAAAACAGCAGAAGGTGACACTATCTTGAGGAACTGTTTGCTATCTCAGAAGAAAGCTTCGGAATTTCAAGAATGCATTGCAAAACTTTTTTACGGAGGTAAGAAAAATCTGGCTGAAGGACTAGCTTGGAAGGAGGGAGGGAGGAGAGAGAAAGAGAGAGAAAGAGGGAGGGATAGAGATTTATGAATAGTATTATCTGAGAAAATGGAAGCACTATCTACTTGAACATGGATGTCAAGGTGAGTACATCAATTTTTAATGAGGAAAAAGAGAGACTTGCAATGCTGGAGACAGCAAAAAATGATAAAGTATAAAATGGTAACATACTGCAAATTTCATGGATGTCTGCCATCCTAAAGTATATCCTTTACAGGCAGAGTTTCTGTGCTGTATAATAGAAAAACAGGGCTGCTTTCCTTCCTTCAAAGACACAGTAAAGGCCATGAAAATTCAGATCATAATCCATTAAGGACAAACTTCCCAATGCTTCCAATGAACTGAATTCTCTTTCCTTCTTAATCCACTGGATCTGAAAGTTGTCTGTTCTGTGAACGTGATTGCAGTGCCTCAACGATAGTTATGTTGGAAAAATAAAAGTCATCCTTGACTTTTGATATGCAATTTGGTTGTATAGTCCCATACGACTTGGAAATCCAGATCCTGTAGAGACAAATCAGGTTGTTTGTCATCCAGGGCTTCAAAACGTGAGATTCTTGAGATTCAATAGAAACTTCAGCTCTCTGAAGGTAGGGGGAAAAAAAAGCTTGGTCTCCAAATTCTGCAGATCAACGTAAGAGATCAGCTAAATGGATCTGGCAGCATTTTCCAATCTTTAGACAAATTCTCTAGATGTGCCAGTACATTGTCCTTTAAAGATGGAGAGCGTGCTTATTTGGAAAGCCTGGTGGCAGAAGAAGCTTCTGCAATAATCATGGTATCTTAATCATCCTACTGTTGCCATCATCCAGTTGTTATTTTCCAATGAGTACATTTGGTGAATAATTATTATCTGTGTGTGTTAAATGTGTGCAGAAAATCCTGAATTACATATTAAGATTATCTATTCCTATTCCTAAGAAGTGGCAAATGAGAACAATCTAACAAATGCTAAAGTTTGTGATTTCGTAAAAGGTGTTTGGAAGATCCACAACTCTTTTTGAGATTGATCAGCATCTATCACTCATGATCTATGTGTAAAATGATACACCCCGTATATCACTCCTACAGGTCAATGAGAAAACCTAAATACTCTCTGGGGATCTTGGAGAAATCATCTGAGATGAAGAAAAAAGTAATATTTATAGGATCATTGTGTTATCAAGAACAGAAGGGAGTGCTTTGAAATCTCCCAAGAAAGATTCTTCTCAATTCAATTTGTATGAAGAGGATCTAGTTCTAAGGGCTTGATGCATCTTGTTGCAGTGTCCAACAATAATCAGCTAGCATTGATGGACTCCAGTTGCCCGATACCATTTGATTCATTGTGTCAATGTCTTAGTGCAGGGGTTCCCAACCAGGGGTGCGAGACAATATTCCAGGGGGTGCGAAAACTTGGGTTTTCAAAATTATAGTTATATGCATACTTCGTTGGCAATATTTTGAAGTTTTGTAAGGGGTGCGAGAATATATTGAAGCGTTCTAGGGGTGCGGGGTATAAAAAAGGTTGGGAACCACTCTCTCAGCGAAACCTCTCACCATGTTCATCCCTAGATTTTTGGGAAAGAAGTCCAAGTGTGAATGCAAAAAATGAATCTTCAATGACAAGTTGCACTTCATGATCTTGTAATGCTGTAAGATGTTTGTCAAGCAGCTGAATGTAATTTGGTGCTCTGTAGTTGCCCAGAAAATTCTTAACAACATCCTTGAATGCTTTCCAGGTGGTTTTCTGTGGCCCCACTAACACATCTTTGAAAAGCTTGTTACTGACGACATATTTGATCTGTGGACCAACAAAAGTACCTCTCTTAATCTTGGCATCAGTTATTCTTGGGAACATGTTTCTCAAAAAATGAAAACCATCACCTTCTTTGTTCATTGTTTTCATAACATTTTTCATCAGTACATATTTTATGTGGAGTGGAGGCAAAAATAACTGTCGGGTCAACAAGTGGTTCATCTGCCACGTTTTTCCTGTCCTGGAGCCAAATTCTTCCAGCGTGGCCATTTCTTTTTAACGTAATGTGATTCTCTCGCACAACTGTCCCATTTGCATATATAACAACAGTTCTTGGTATAGCTGAGCTGCATTCCAAACAGCAGAGCCACTACAGGTATTTCAGTTGTATTCATATGTTTCTTTCACATGTGCAGCAGGTGCTGACGTTTGTACATTGCCTTTGTGTAAAAACAGAAGATTTCTATAGAACAGTAAGTGATACATTAAATTACAGGTTATGAATATAATACTATACTATACTATACTATACTATACTATACTATACTATACTATACTATACTATACTATACTATACTACACTACACTACACTACACTACACTATACTAAACTATACTATATTATACTATACTATACTATTATAATATAATATAATATAATATAATATAATATAATATAATATAATATATAATTAATATAATTAATAGAATAGAATAGAATAGAGCTGGAAGGGACCTTGGAGGTCTTCTAGTCCAGCCCCCTGCTCAAGTAGGAGAACCTATACATCTCAGACAAGTGACTGTTTAGCCTCTTTTTAAAAATCTCCTTAGTTATTTTTATTTTACAGCATTCTATGATAGATCATTAGAGGTACTGGAAGACCCAGTTGACCCAAGGGATATGGCAAGGACACACTGACAGACCTGAGATATCACTTGGCTTGTCATCAATGCATCTTTCATGTTCTTATGTGCTTTTCAGATAAATGGAAATATAACTCTCCTCTGCTTAGAAAATGACTACATTTTGTCCAGCTTTCTTCCTTTGTCAAGCCTCACCTTACATTTTTCCACATTTAAGAACAAGCGAATCTACCAAGTGCTTATATTATTTCTTTTCAAATGCTATCTTAACTCTCCATGCCAATCTAGGATCTTTTCCGGGGACGTGTCTCTGCACACAGGGACAAAACCATGCGTATTCAAGCCCAGTCTGTCAAACCCATGCTGAATACAAAGTATCCATGGCATCTGAACGAACCACCTCACCCTATGAGCAAGGCTTCTAAGTCCTACAAGCCATAATCAGTCCATTTCAACATCTAGCACATTTAAAATCAAAACCCCCTATTAGAAAATACAAGCTGACATTGTGCAGTGCAAAGCAACAGCACCTCTGAACTCCACAAGCTTCCTATAGAAAACTGATGGTTTTGCCTGGAAATGTGCCACATTCTCCAGAAAAAAAAAATATAAACATTGGGAGCAGGAAATGTATCCCACAGGAGCAACTGGAGGCAGCAGGCAGCCTTCTAGTAAATGAGCACTTTGTAATGGTTTAAATGCCCAGGATTATTTCGTGAATGGGCAAGTATAGATAGTCCTCGCTTAATAGCCATTTGTTCGGTGACCATTCAAAAATTACGGGCTTCACCCACCCGGGGCACTCTGCACTCCACTTAACCACCATGCCTGAGAAAGTCAGGATGCAGTCATAAAGTGAGGCCATGTTGTGACCTGCTTAATGACCTCGACTTATAACCAAAATCCCAGACTCAACCACAGTTGTAAGTCAAGAGCTGCCTGGAGCCATTTTACAAGATCTGCCAGATTCCAGATGTGATCACCAGATCAAAAGGTGAGTCTTTCTTCCTTAAAGCTCTTTCCATCCACATGGAAAAATATTGGATGCAGCATCATTAACTCACCCGTGAGCCTTTTAATAATTTTGCGCAGGACAAAGTACTGTCTTGGGAAATTGTAGAAATTTTTTTCCAGCTCAACAGAGACCTGACTTGACTCGTGGGCTTGCGCCTCTTCACATCTGCATGGAAGAGAATAGAACAACTGGGTAAAAGCCGGTCAATCTCAACTCTCAGAAGGCCCCCCATTTTTTTTTTAACAACAGCCCCTATCTCTGCCTAATTAAGACTGAATCTGGCCTCGTAGTCCAGGGGTAAGCAACCTTGGCTCTTTTATGACAGGTGGACTTCGACTCCCAGAATTCCTGAGCCAGCCATGCTGAGGGGAAAGGGAGAGATTTCCAAGCTGAGCCATGTTGGCTCAGGAATTCTGGGAGTTGAAGTCCACGAGTCATAAAAGAGCCAAGGTTGGCTACCCCTGTCCTAGTCAAAGCTGATAAACATACTACCCTTCTGAAACAACTTTTGCTACCACTACAGGTAGTCCTCAATTTAGAACAGTTTGTTTTGCGACAGTACAAAGTTACAACAGCACTGAAAAAAGTGATTTATGACTATTTTTCACACAACCACTGTAACTTTCCCATGGTCACGTGATCAAAATTTGAACGCTTGGCAACTGGCATGTATTTATGACGGCTGCAGTGTCCTGGGATTGTGTGATCACCTTCTGTGACTTTCTGACAAGCAAAATCAATGGGGAAGCCAGACTGACTTAACAACTGTGTTATTAACTTAACAACTGCAGGGATTCACTTAACAGATGTGGCAAGAAGGGTCATAAAATGGGGGACATCTCACTTAACAACTATCTGGCTTAACAAAAGAGGTTTTGAGCTCCACTGTAGTCGTTAGGTCGAGGGCTATTTGCAATCAATTTGGATCAAGGAAGATCTGATAAGCTATACACCTTGAGCTGTTTCACATCTACACCTTTACTGAACTGGATTTCAGAGTTATTATCCTAAGATGGCCAAAGACACAGAAACATAGAAAACTGACGGCAGAAAAAGACCTAGCGGTCCATCAAGTCTGCCTTTTGAGTTTTTGTTTTCTTATTTATTTATATCATTTTAAATTATTATTTATTTTTAGTTTATTTTATTTATGAACTGGATGTTATGGGCTTACTGGTTAACATCAAAAAAGATGGTACAATGTCACTAACTATTATTTTATTAATTTATTGGAAATAACATTCACGTTAAGTCAAATGGACTTTTTTCCTGGTATTATTTTTTTAGTTTTTTGAAAAATGGCCCCAGAATGCAACTCAAAACCCAACTAATATAGTAAACTTCACTAAAGACTGTGAATCTAGGTGTAAAATATCCCACCTTAATTTCAATTTCAAAAAAATTAAATGAAAACGTGTCAGTATGGGACACATACACATTCCTCCAGATATTCAACATTTTTAAGTCGGTTGTATTGCTTCTTTGAGGATAACAGTTAATAACAATCTTGCCAGCCTCTGTAAGAAGCAGCAGCAGCTGAACTACTGTAATTCATTGCAAAAGAATTTGTTCCTTACCTCTCAAAAGTGCTCCTCACGTCCTGCATAAAGACAAGAAATAATATTAAGATTTCATCTGAAATTTAAAAAATCCCATTTGCATAGGAAATTGTGCACCAGACAGATTGGCAGGTGGCATGAGGATCCCATCAACTTATTCTATCCTCTCACAGTATGCTTGCAGAATTAAACCAACACATTTAAACTAGAACCTAAAAGAAGTATACCAACTGCATTCACAAAGCCACAGGAAATGGGCTCCAGACTCATTAACCATCAAATAAATATCAGTCGAAAGAGAAGTACAGAAGAAACAATATAGGTGTCATGGTTCCGACAGATGAAACTCTTCAAAGAACTTCGAGGCATTGTTTACCTTAAAGAATCTTTATTGGAGTAGCATAGCTTTGGCACTAACATAGTTGAAGCCAAAATCTGAATTCTCCTCCTCTGAACACATAGTATCAAAGCACAATTCCCTCCTCTAATTTACAGTAATAAATCACATTCTCCAATTATTTATTTATTTTATTTTATTTTTAAAATTTATAAGCCGCCCCACTCCCGAAGGACTCTGGGCGGCTAACAATAAAAAACACACATAAAACATAACAAACAAACAGTACAAAGACAGTCATCCAGGGGTCAGGTTTTATAAACCCCAGGCCTGCCAGAAAAGGCAGGTCTTAAGTAGCTTACGGAAGACCAACAGGGTGGGAGCGGTCCTAATCTCCGGGGGGAGCTGGTTCCAAAGCGTGGGCGCCATCACAGAGAAGGCCCTCCTCCGCGGCCCCGTCAAATGGCACTGCTTGGCCGACGGGGCCTGAAGGAGGTCCAGCCTGTGGGATCTAACCGGACGTAGGAACTATGAGGTAGTAGGCGGTCTCGCAAATTAGTTTGAAATGCAGGCTTTCCCTCCATTACTCCATCCCGCCATTTCTTATCATCTCTTATTTCAAAAGCCCTGAATTCACACACTATTACAATATTGTTATGCCTAACTAACTTCCGTCACATTCCTCCTCCATATGTTGTCAAAGTAAGAACATCCAATGTTAGCAGCGTTGACAATAGATTTACACAACCTTGACAAGTAACCTGAACCTGGCGTTTGAAAAAAATCACTTCAAATGTAAGAAAACTTGCAATTCTGAAGCTGCAGCAGTAGCACTCAGAACTAATTAAATTACCCAGTGTGATCAGATAACATTGCAGCTTTTATTTCGAACAGTTTTTTAAGCTACCTAATATATCATTGTACCAACATTTAAGGTGGACAATCATACAAATCTTTTAAACAAACAGATTGTAGTTTTTGAGCCTCCCAAGGGAGGGAATAAACACTTTGGTGTAAGTTTAGAATTGCAAAGATGGAAGGGGTCCAGCATTCCTATTAAAGCAGTGTTTCTCAACCTTGACAATTTTAAGGCATGTGGACTTCAACTCCCAGAATTCCACAGCCAGCAATTAAAGGCTTCCAAGAATGCTGGACTAAGGAAGCCCCGTCTCTCCCCCCTCCCACCCCACCCCCAAATCCTGAATGTATTCTTTCCATCATTCAACTTAACTATCTTTATAAACCCACTATGAAATGCAGGTAGTCTTCAAATTATGACTAAAATTGGGATTGGAATTTCAGTTATAAATTGTTTCGGTCGTAAGTTGACGAACCATGTGACTGGATCCATTGTTTTTTACTGTTTTTATGGCGGCTGTTAAGCAAATCACACTCGTTAAGTGAATCCGTTCTCCCAAATGGGATTTTTTTTTTGGTCAAAAATCATCAAAATAAAAAACTTCCACATACATGACTGCAGGATATTGCAACTGTCTGTGATGGTCACTGGCCAAGCACCAAAAAATGTGGTAATGTGACCATGGAGGGGCCTGGTACAGTATTTTACCACAGCTAGAAAGGCTTTATAGGCTGTAAAGTACCTTTTGCAAGGCCATTGTAACTTCAAACAGTCATTAGATGTCCAATCATAACTCAAGACTACATAGAAGCAGCTAGGGCAGGCAGAAAATTACATGTGCTATCTAGAGTTCTTGCAAAGTTGAATATATATTCTCAGAAAGCATTTTCCTACGGAAATTTCTTAAAATCTCCCAGGTTTTTCCCTCCGATTCTAAACTCACTTTATGCTATATGCCAAAACAATCTGAATTATATCAGAAACGCCCAGTTTCCTCCCAGAACGCATTTCATTCTCTGATTCACAGAAGAAGCCATTAAATTCTTGGAGGAGCTCGTACCTTGAGCATGTCCATGCCCGACTGCAAACACTTCTCCTCGATTTCAGTGATAAGGCTGTTGAGGGCAATCCGCTGCTCTGACAACTCCGCCACATTTTCCTTCAACTTCTGCAAAATTTCCTTCTCCTCATTTTCTAGGCGTTGCATTAATATTTCCTGCTCCTCTGCTAGAAACAGATGTAGCTCCTCAAACTCACTAATGATGAGCTGACGACGGTCCTCAACCTTCCGCTGCAGACACATAGAAGAAAAGGTTAGATAACCAAAGAGAGAAGCAACCTTAGAACTATTTCCTAACAGTTAGAACAACTAACCAGTGGAACAACCTGCCTCCAGAAGTTGTGAATGCTCCAACACTGGAAGTTTTAAAGAAGAGACTGGACAGCCAGTTGTCTGAAAAGGTATAGAGCAGGGGTAGGCACTCTTGGCTCTTTTATGATTGGTGGACTTCAACTCCCAGAATTCCTGAGCCAGCATGGCTCAGCTTGGAAACCTCTCCCTTTCCCCTCAGCAGGGCTGGCTCAGGAATTCTGGGAGTTGAAGTCCACGAGTCATAAAAGAGCCACGGTTGCCCACCCCTGACCTAGGGGAAGGATTTCCCCCCTCTTTTTCCTGTCAGCAAAACAAATCTCATCCTAATGAACAAACTCCGAAAGCATGCATGGCAGCCATATTGCTGAATGAAGCAGGACTGAGACCAATCACCCCCTAAGTGGGAAACCACCAGGAACTCACTGGACATGTCCTGGACATAGAGTATAAAATATATCAAGGAAGTCGGAACATTAGAGGTGGTTGAGCCCAACTGGGCCCAGAACTTCCAGTGCTAAGCAAGGCAGTTGTTAAGTGAGTCATGCCCCTAAACCTCCAAGGTCCCTTCCAACATCATCATCATCATCATCGTTATTATTATTATTATTATTGGAAAGATATTTCTATGTCCTGTTTCTTGAGCTTCTTGGACAGACCAGTCATTTTTGATAAGCTTTAGCATTATTGTATTACTTTTCTGGAGGTTCTTAATGCCTCTAAATAACTGTGAAGAATTTATATTCAAAATCCTATTGGAGAAAGTTTCTTTATAGGTAGTCCTCGACTTACAACCACAGCTGGGAATAGAATTTCCATTGTTAAGCAAGGCAGTTGTTAAGAGAGTTGCGCCTGGTTTTATGACCTTTGTGCCGTGGTTAGGCAAATTGCTGCAGTTGTTAAGTAATGGTTGTTAAAGAGAAACCAACTTCCCCCATTGACTTTGCTTGTCCAAAGCTGGCTGGGAACGTTGCAAATGGTGACCACATGACCTCTGGAAATATAAATATATACTGGTTGTCAAGCGCCTGAATTTTGCTCATGTGACCATGAGGATGCTTAGATGGTTGTAATTACGAGGACCGGTTATTAGTCCTTTTTTTTCGGTGTCATTGCAACTTTGAGTGATCGCTAAACGAATGGTTGTAAATCAAGGACTACATGTATTGTTACTATTTGGAAATATTATACCTTTTAAACCAGAGGTCCCCAACCTTAGCAACTTTAAGACTTGTGGACTTCAACTCCCAGAATTCCTCAGCCAGCCAAGCTGGCTGAGGAATTCTGGGAGTTGAAGTCCACAAGTCTTAAAATTGCCAAGGTTGAAGACCCTGTTTTAAATGTTTCTGAAACCAGGAGAGGCCTTTCTTATCTGACCCGGATATCATTTAAGGGTTTGGCAATGTCTCCTGGCATGGTAAATAAGCACGCTCAGCTGTAAGAAAAATGTGTAAATTAACTAAAGTGGGGACAGAGGTACAAAAGGCTGAAGTTTTAACATCCATTTCAAAACTGTTCTTCTTTGGGCTATAGCAGTGGTTCTCAACCTGTGGGTCGGGACCCATTTAGGGTCGAACGACCATTTCACGGGGGTCGCCAAACAACGCAGTCCGCCATTTTTTCCCCCTTTTCCTTAGCAGTGCTACTCCCTTTTATTCTATTGGCTTTTGAAAGCCAATAGAATAGACTCTCTTGAATAGCGTCTAATTCTATTGGCTTTCAAAAGCCAATAGGAATTGTCCAGGCTCTCTCTGCCCTGCTGAGCCTGCCAAAAGTCCCATTCTGCAAACGGTGCTGCACCAGTTGAGTAGTCCTCAACTTACGACCAGTTGAGTAGTCCTCGACTTATGATCGGTTGGGGGGTCGCGGCATTAAAAAGGTTGAGAACCACTGGGCTATAGTGAAGAATTAAATGAAGAATAAATATTCTGTCATTCGACAGTATGCAGAAGATTCAACACCTGCCTTGAGTTCCCCGGCCTTCTTTTCTTCTCGGGATTTGCAGTGGGCAATCTCTTGCAATTTCTTTTCCAATGGCTCCAAACATTTCTGCATCTTTTCCTGAATTTTTTTTTTTTAAAAAAAGTACCATATCTGAGTTAGAGCCTGCAAAGGTAGCTAAAATAATGAGGGTAAGAGCCTATGTGACAAGATAGCTTTGGGAAACGCAGAGAGGACAAAATAAACAATCCGTTCTGTGGATGCTCCTCATCCAATGATGTTCAGTTGCATACAGTTCACATAGATCAGTGGTTCTCAACCTGTGGGTCGGGACCCCATTTGGGGTCGAACGACCATTTCACGGGGGTCACCAAACAAGGCTGTCCACCATTTTTTCCCCCTTTTCTTTGGCCACGCCCCTGGCACCCGGTGATGTATAAGTGGTTGGGGGTCACCACAACATGGGGAACTGTATTATGGGGTCGCGGCATTAGAAAGGTTGAGAACCACTGACATAGATGAAGATTTCATGAAGCTAATGTAATATTAGGAGGAAAAGCTGTGCTGATGAATGTATAAATATCATAAATCAATTACAGTAGTGGCCAAAATTGTGGAAACCTTTTGGGAAAAGTGTACAGTAGAAATGCCATCTTTGGTTAAGTTTCCACCAATTTTTCCTCTAATTTCTTTATAACTGTAGCCTCGTTCACTTAATAATACTATTTTACATCGCTTTCTGGGCAACCAGTCAACTCTTTGCACCATTACTTTAATTTTATTACGTTTTACAAGCTCACTAAATGAAAGAACACAAAAAAACCCCAACCAACTTGATAGCGATCACATAACACACTGACAAATGTCCTCCTCTCAGCTTCAATACATGACATCCATCACTGAATCCTACTGTGATCTGATTGGCTCATTGCCAAAACAAGGTGACACCCGATTGGCTCTCTAAAGACTCATGCTCATTGGCTACAATCAGATGAAGGAAAGCTACCTGATATCAACCTAAGCAAGTTATGCTTCCTTCTTTCTGGTTCTTTGGCTATAACTTTTCATAGAATACAGTACAGATAATTGAACAAACTTTGTTGCATTACATTCTTGATTAAATTATTTTTCCATTGATATATAATTTTATGGTACTACTCCCCCCAAAAAAGTGGTGTTATGAGCCATCAAACCTCAAAAATACACTTTTCCCAAAAGGTTTCCACAATTTTGGCCACTACTCAGTGCTTTTCAACTGGTGGTACGTGTACCACTTGTGGTACATTAATGAGTGGCAGGTGCTACGCAGCCCCACCCAGCCAAGTGTAGTGGGGGAGGGAAAGAGCCTCTGCAGCTGCAAAGGCCCCAGGCTCACTTCTGGCACATCCTCCCCCATGAGAAAGGAGGAGGGGGGTAGAGACAGGAGAGGGAGAGAGAAAAAAAGCAGCTACCTTAGGAGGAGACAGAGTCAGCTGTATGAAGGGGAAGAAGAAGGAAGAAGGGGGAGGGGAGGGTGGGGGGAGAGGAGATCCAAGCAGGCTGGCCATGAGCCGATCTACAACTGCTGTGGCAGCCACCTGTGCTGGCAGCAGCAAAAAGGCAAGAAATGCAGTGGGGGAAGGGGTCGCCCTCCAAGAGGAATGAAAAAAGGCTGCAATGGCTGGAGGTGAGGCACGGAGGAGGGAAGGAGATGGAGAGTGGAAGGATTCTTATGTGCTTTTGTGACTTTGACGTTCTGGGATTTGTGCAATGAGGGCTTTGTGTGCTTAAGGAGTGTTTGGCAATTTCTATTTGGCTGATGGTGTTAGCTTCTATTGCTCTGCTGTTGTTAGCTGTAAGTTTTGCTGCAAGGGATTTTGAAGTATTTTTCTCCTGAATGGATTTTGCCTATAGCATTCCTTTACTTATGAATGGAGCCATTTGGGGAGGTTGTCTTAGACCAGTGGCTCTCAACCTTTTTAATGCCGCGACCCCCAACCGGTCGTAAGTCGAGGACTACTCAACCGGTCGTAAGTCGAGGACTACTCAACTGGTGCAGCACCGTTTGCAGAATGGGACTTTTGGCGGGCTCAGCAGGGCAGAGACAGCCTGGACAATTCCTATTGGCTTTTGAAAGCCTATAGAATTAGACTCTATTCAAGAGAGTCTATTCTATTGGCTTTCAAAAGCCAATAGAATAAAAGGGAGTAGCACAGCTAAGGAAAAGGGGGGGGGGGAAATGGTGGACTGCATTATTTGGCAACCCCCATGAAATGGTCATTCGACCCCAAATGGGGTCCCGACCCACAGGTTGAGAACCACTGCCTTAGACTGCAGCCAGTACTTACATTTTTTTTTTCTCCCTTAAGTGCAGGCTGTGCTCCTTACTTTCCTTTCTAGCCAGTAGCTAATTCTTAAAGGGGAATGTGCCTTTTTAAGCTAGTTCACTCAGCAGCTTGTCTTTTCTGTCTCTGGAGGCTTTTCCTTGTTTGATCAATATATGGAAGAGGGAAAATATGGGGGGGTTCAAATTCTTCCTTCAGAAGGAGATGGGAATGAGGAAAAGGGAGGCAGGGAAGGGATGGGAGGAAAGGAACAAGTGGGACAGCTGGGCGGGGCATTCAGTGCTGCCACCATGAGGTGAGACCATGGAAAAGACATCCCCCGAAAATAAGAACTAGTGCATCTTTTGGAGCCCCCCCCCAAAATAAGACTGGGTCTTATTTTCAGGGAAAATAATTAAAATTAATATTTTGATCTAGTACCACACTATCTTTCATATTGCTGTATTTAATGTAACTGATACTAATACATCTGGCCTCTTCTCAGAACTGGAACTCAAATGAGTTTGCTAAGCTAAAATAGGTATTCAGGAGAATACTGAGATTTGAAGAAATATAAAAATAAATCTCAAAAGTTAATAATTCTTAAAGGTCACCAGGAGCTACTGAACTTGAACACCAGTTTGGCAGGGGGAATAAAAACAGAAAAACAAATGGAGGGCAAGGCTGAAGCAAAATGCCTTTAACCCAGGCATGTCAGACTCGCGACGTCACATGACGTCGCGCAACGCATCGGGCTGATTTTGCCATTGCCAGCAATCGGTGGGCGCCGCTTCCACCTGACACATCCGGCCCACGGGCCGGCAGTTTGATACTCCTGCTTTAACCATTTAAAGTTGGGGATTTGTTGGGCATGAGTCCGAAAGCTCGGAAGACTAAAAACCGCTGGTCCCGGTGACCGACCCAGATTGGATCCTGCAACATTATCCTGGGACACGTCTATTCGCTTTCCTTCGTGAGTTTAAAGTTGCTTCTCCAGACTAGCATTTTCTAGCTATGTGGGAACCACAGAACTGCAAACTAGCATGAAAAGACCACCTTCACTGAGACAATTAGAACTTATAACCCCAACACCTCTGGAGCAAACTGGGTTAGAAAAGATTGTTCTACGATACTTCGAAGGAAGACGTGATCACGAACACTCTTGTTACAGAAGAGGCTCCGAGTATCGTTTTTTAAAGCAAAACATCAGGATACAACTGATCAAAACAAGAAGATACATACCGATAGTACGCAAACTCATTTGATACCGAACCAAGAAAAAACAGATACAGGTAGTCCTCAATTTATGACTGTAACGAAGCCTGCCAATTATGGTTGTAAGTCATGATGCTCGTAAAGTGAGTCATCACATGACCCACTCAATTTTCTTTCTTTCTCTTTCTTTCTTTCTTTCTTTCTTTCTTTCTTTCTTTCTTTCTTTCTTTCTTTCTTTCTTTTTTCGCAGAGGCTTTTAAGCAACTGTGGCAGTCATATAGCAAACTCTGCAGTGGTTAAGCAAAGCCTGCCGTTTACTATGAGGTGTTTTTATTGGAAAAAAGAACTAACTGTCATTTCCTGGCAAAAACATTGTAAGTTGTGATCAGTTGAAACAATAGGATGCTGCTAACAGCCTAAAATGTGGTCATGTAAGCAGTCGCTAAGCGACCAGTTATAAGTCAAGGACTACCTGTGTTATCATCCCACTGCCAGTCATAGTGATTTTTACTCCTCCTCTGGATTTTAGGAAAGCTTTGTACCCATTACCTTTACTCTTTTTTATTTGTTTGTACCAGGGGTGTCAAACTGCCGGCCCACAGGCCAGATGCATCAGAGCGAAACCGCGCCCACATTTCTGGCAATGGCAAAAAAGTCGCGATGCGTCGTGACACGTCACATGACGTTATGAGTTTGATACCCTGGGTTTATACTGTAAAATACAATACAAAAACAAATAGTAGGAAAGACAGGGGAGGGAAAGGGGAGGGGGAGAGTGCAAAAAAAAAAAAGGGAAAAAAGAAAGAAAAGGCACAATGACTTCCGATTCCCTTTGGTGCAGTAAAATAAGATAATAGCATCAAACCTCAGCTTTTTACTTTTACATAGTGGTATAAACTAGCCCAGGGGTGGGCAACCTTGGCTCTTTTATGACTCGTGGACTTCAGCTCCCAGAATTCCTGAGTCAGCTATGCACTAGACCAGGGGTAGGCAACTTTGGCTCAGGAATTCTGGGAGTTGAAGTTCACGAGTCATAAAAGAGCCAAGGTTGCCTACCCCTGAACCAGCCATTTCTATAACAACAAACCTATCTGATCGGTAAAAGCCCAAAATCAAAGTTTCAATTTTTTTTCCACCTCAAGCACAAAGTCCAGAAGCGGTTTCCAAGTGGAAACAAAAAAAAAACTTGGTTTTTTCCCCCCTTTTATCAGAGCAGTCAGTTTAGCCAGGAAAGCTCTGTACCCATTGTGTGCCAGTGCCATCATCCTACCTTGTATTCCTGAGAGGCATCATCCAAGGACACAACTGTATGGGAACGGTGTTCGTGGGAGATCTCGCACGCTAAGCAAACGGCCTCCTGGTCTTCCTTACAGAAGAGGCGAAGCACTTCATTATGCTTCTCACATAAGTTCTCATCCCTTATCTTTCGCTTATTGGTGACCTGGAGTTGCTTGGCAATCTCTACCATGTTGCCCAGCTGCCGGTTGGGCTTCAGAGAGCGGTGGCGGAAAGTCTTACGGCACACGGGGCAAGGGAAGTCTCGGTTCAAGTCCTCCCACCAGCGGGTGATGCACACCCGGCAGAAGTTGTGGCCACAGTCAATGATCACAGGGTCTTTCAGGTACTCCAGACAGACAGAACAGCTGGCTTCCACTTGGAGGGTCTCCAGAGGATTTGTGGTGGCCATGGCTTCTGTAACACAGAGGGGGAGGAACGTTGTAGTCAGAACCAACCAGGTTCACAGTTTAATGTTATATTTTATGGACATCCCGCCCCTTCTCTAGAAAACATACATGTGCTCTTCATGTACGATACTGAAAGAGTGTGATGACAAATGGAAATTAGTCCTTCTCTGAACTTGGGAAGTTAGGTGGTCCCCAACTTACAACCACAATTGAGCCCAAAATTATCCGTTGCTAACCAAGACAGTTAAGTGAGTTTTGCCCCATTTTACGACCTTTCTTGCCACAGTTGTTAAGTGAACCACTGCAACGGTTAAATGAGTAACTTGACTGTTAAGTGAACCTGGCCTCCGTTGACTTTGCTTGTCAGAAGGTCGCAAAGGTCGCCTGACCCTGGGACACTTGCTTGCCAAGTGGCCAAATTTTGATCATGCGACCGTAGGGAATCCTGCCGTGGTTGCAGGCGTGAAAAAGTCGCTCACTCTTTTCAGCGCTGTTGTAACTTTGAACGGTCACTAAAAGAATGGCTCTAAGTCAAGGGGCTACCTGTCCTCTCTCCGAAATGCTGAAATTCAAAGAGGCTTCACTTCAAAAAAAAAAAAAAAAGAAAAAAGAAAAGAAAAGTCAAATATGATAGCCAAGGAGGACATCCTACTAAGAAGCACAGCAGGACTGTGAAGGATCTAGATCAGGGCTTTTCAACCAGTGGTACAGGTACCACCTGTTGTACATTGGCACCTGGCAGGTGGTACGCGACCATCCTAGAAAAGTGGTAGCAGGGGAGGGGAATGAGCTGAACCAGCGCAGCACCGCACAAGCCTGAGCGAGAGATGGCTGGAGCTGCAGGGCTGTCAGAGCTCAGGGGAAGTGCCAGGATCAGCGCTTCTTTGGGGCTGTCAGGGCTCAGGGGAAGCACCAGGATCAGTGCCAGGCTCCAGCTGGAGCTCAGCGCTGATCCTGGTGCTTCTGCTGAGCCCAGAAGAAGCACCGATCAGCTGGAATGTTGCAGCATCTCCAGGGTCTTGTGATTTACATTCAGATGCTTGGCAACTGATTCATATTTATGATGGTCACAGTGTCCTAGGGTCATGTGAAGTGATCAAAACCTGCTGCAACCATCCAGCAGACGGGGGGAATAAAAACCAAACACCCCCCCACCCCACCTCCACTGCCAATCCTCAACAGAAATGCTCACAACAATGGAAACCTTGGACAGGAGGAAGAGCGCCGCCGGGTGGGAAGGCAGGTGTCTTGCTCGGCTGTGCCTTGGGGGGCACTTTTTTCAGTGTCATTGTAACTTTAAATAGTCACTAAGCGAACTGTTGTAAGTCGAGGACTACCTGTACTTTATCACTTTTTTCTTTTTGGCCATCAAGTTTTTGACACCTTGCTAGGCAACTGGTGGTACTCAGATATTGCCATATCCTAAAAGTGGTACAATGGGTGAAAAGATCGAAAAGCCCTGATCTAGACCAGGGGTAGGCAACCTTGGCTCTTTTATGACTCATGGACTTCAACTCCCAGAATTCCTGAGTCAGCATAACTATGCTGACTCAGGAATTCTGGGAATTGAAGTCCGTGAGTCATAAAAAAGCCGAGGTTGCCTCCTCTGATCTAGACAGCCAAGAGCTGGGAAGCCAAGAAATGGATGGCATGATGGCTAATAAACCTTCTAAAGGCATCGGAAGCAAGAGGACATTCAGAATTCTAAATGGGCCACTTCAGGCCACTTCCCAAAAAATGGGAAAATTTCAAGTGACCAAAATTAATCTACATTTCCTATTTTATCTCCTCAGTGACTTTATACAGTTTATTTGTCAAAGTAGTGTACAATCACATTGCTACAGACCTGAGAGGGATTCGGATCCAGCTGCTAAAAAGATGAAAGTCATGTCAACCTGGACACCTTCCCTTGATGTGCGATATCTACAGCATTTCTAAGAAACCGCCATTCAAAGAAGAAGAAAAAAATCCAGAGCTTTCTATAGTAAATCTACATAATGGAGAAATTAGCCTACAACATACACAACCCACATCTACTCCAGTTTTGCCCTGAGCAATCGTAATTTCCACGCCAGCTGTAAAAACACGAGTGAGCCAAAGGAGTTTCTCTAGAACACCTCTGGATTATACGGTTCCATCACTACAGAAAACTATAAACAGAGTTGCACTTGCCTCAAACTCTGTTAATCCGGCCTTAACAAAGAGGATGGAGGCAGCAGAATGTCTACCATGCCCTACAGCAGGGGTCTTCATACTTGGCCCTTTTATGACTTGTGGACTTCAACTCTCAGAATTCCTCAGCCAGACACGCTGGCTGAGGAATTCTGGGAGTTGAAGTCCACAAGTCATAAAAGGGCCAAGTTTGAAGACCCCTGCCCGACAGCAAAACTATTACAACAAGCTAATATTCACCCCTCCACAAGACTAGACTGTTGGATAGCTGTGACCAATGGCTTTGCAATACTCTACCTACCCCTTGTTTGATTCATCTGGAGTTGATCAATTATCACAGGCATCTTCTTCTTTGGACAGGAGTGAGGATAGTCGAGACTTATCCACAGAAGCCAATGAGTGAAAGCAGCTTCTTCCTTTCTTCTTCAACACCAATTTATCTTGCAAAATAAGGTACTTCCTGCATCATCTGCTTATCTTGTCATTCAAAAAGGAAAACAAAATTAAAATGCAGTACTTCATATTCATAAAGCGGCTTCTATACTTCAAAGCACGGTATATTTTGTGCCAACCTTCCGTAACATAGTCAAGATGGACAGTATTTAGTATTGATTTGTTAGGGGTATATGTATATGTAGGGGTATGGGTCTATACCAATGGTGGCGAACCTATGGCACGCGTGCCAGAGTCAGCACTCGGAGCCCTCTCTGTGGGCACATGTGCCATTGCCCCAGCCTTGCCTCCCCCTGCAACCCCCTCCTCACCCACAGCCCCCCTGGAGGAGAGTCACCCCCGAGCGTGGCCCACGCAGAGCAGTGCAGCCAAAGACATGGCAGCCAGATAGCGTAGACAAGACTTTGCCCTCACGCCCCATCATGCACAGTTGATGCTGCGGGGCACGGGCAGAAGGTGTGGCCTCCATGGTGCTGCTGGGCTGCCTGAGCGATCTGCAGCAGGTCCTGGAGGTGGTGAGTGGCGCTGCGAGCAGGTGGGGTAGGGGCGGGGCAGGGGGTGGAGCGGGGCAGGGCCAGTTTTTGGGCACTTGGTCTCTAAAAGGTTCGCCATCACTGGTCTATATATATATGTTGTATATAGTAGGTTTAGGTGTGTGTCATGTATGTGTTTCACTTTGAGAGTGGACAATTAGATTTCATTTTTGATGTGTGCCGTTGTGCCCACAGTAAAAAAATGACAATAAAGCTTATCTTATCTTACCTTACCTTACCTTTAAAGAACACCATTATAGATAGTGCTCAATTTACAACCACAATTGAGCCCCACTAAGTGAGGCAATTGTTATGAGAGTTTTGCCCCATTTTATGACTTTTTTGCCAGTTTTTAAATGAATCACTGCAGTTGTTAAGTGAATCAGGCTGTTGTTAAGTGAATCTGACTTTCCCCCATTGACTTTGCTTGTCAGCAGCTGACTGGGAAATTACAAATGGTGATCATAAATCTGAGACAGTGCAATTATCGTAAATACATGCCAGTTGCCAAGCACCCAAACTTTGATTATGGGACTCTGGGGATGCTGTAGTGGTCATAAATGTAAAAACTGGTCATTAAGTCACTTTTTTCAATGCTGTTGTCACTTTGAACCAAACTAAGTCTACATATTGTCAGTTTGCATTATTTCAACCCAAATTGCAAATGTCCCATAAACCTACAAGTAATTTCTGGTTCAAGAAAAATCTGAATCCACAATCATTTGATTCAGCCCTTGCCTTTGCAAAAGGGATGTTAACCCAGATTTTAGAGAAATTCCTGATCATCATTATTAGGATTTTTCTAGGCAGTCAGTGATGTTGTCAAAAGTGCAAAGCTGTTCAAGGACTGCAAAGGATACTGATGCTACTATTTTAAAAGTGTTCTAACAACACCAGTCCCTCTCCATAGCACAGAAAGTACAATATATATGTTATTATACATATGTTATTTTAGAATAAGTATTGTACATAAAACTTAGATGTATATGTAGAGATGAAGAATTGATTGTAAAAAGTGGAATAATCTGATAAGAATGTATATACTGGAATGTTAAGTTAAATCCAATGTTTGTTTCTTTTTAACTGTATTATAAATAAAATTTGAAATTATATATATATAATTTCCTCCTCTATCACTCCTCTATTTTTAGCATTATTCTTAATATATATATATATATATATATATATATATATATATATATATATATATAGAGAGAGAGAGAGAGAGAGAGAGAGGGAGGGAGGGAGGGAGAGAGAGAGAGAGAGAGAGAGAGAGAGAGAGAAAGTTTTTCAGACAGACCGGTCTGATTGTCTTTGTACGGGACTTCTGTCTTTCCTTGTTTGTTGAAAATCTTTTTTTTTTTCCGCTTCTCGTATCATTTCCTTTCTCTCCAATGTTCCTAACATCTCTACAGTCCATTTTACCCGGTCTGCTTTCTTGTCCTCAGATTTATTTTGTAGTCTTAAGGGATAAGTTGTTTTTTCCAATTCTTGTGAATTTTTTTCCATTAAGATTAAATCATGTTTCCTTGTTCTGTTAAGTTCCATCTTTAAGTCTCTATTCTCAATTCTATAGCTATTTATCTGTTTTATCTGCTCCTTTTCTGTTGTTGTAGAGTTAACTTGGGAATAGATTGATTTATTTTCAAAGTTGTTTTGGATTTCTTTATGATTTAAAGTCATTGTTGTTTGAATTAGTTGCAGTATACTATATATCTCCTCCTGTGACATATTTATGTTTTCTTGATATGTTCTTTCTACATGTCTCTGATCCATGATAGCCAAAAATTTGAGTTTTCTCTTCCTTTCTTTTCTCTGTAAATAGCTTTAGAGTCCCAATTAGATAGATATTTGTAATCCAAATAGTTCAAAATAAATTTTTCCTAAAATTTATAATTCTCTCTTTGTTTACAGCCCAGATTATTGTCTTTTTTCACAACTGTTCTTTGTCGTTAAAGCTTTGAAAGTCACAGACATAGATTAGCTTTTCCCAGATTTTGCCAAGTCTTATATTAAAGCCATAGCTGCCATAGTCCTCATCTGCCACTAGGTGTCAGCAACTATTTGTTTTTCAATTTCCAAAATGAACAATTATCTTTGAAATGAGAGTCTTAACCATTAAAACAATTTTCGATTTATCCAGATTTAAGTTTTAAATTTCAGGTTTTATATTTATTTCACTTCCATATATTTTGATCTTCCATAAAAAGATTAATTCGCCGCTTCCGTTAGTATAAGGGTGGGGCTGAAATCCCCCTCCTTCCCTTTCGGAGGTATTTTGCTTCTTGGGAATCTTTTCCAGGAAATTAAATGTAAAATAGAAAAGAGAAGATCAAATTCCTCACCCAGTTTCCAGCACGCTGTTCACAGTTGTGCTGGTTAGTGCTTTTGGACTTCGGTTGCAAGTAGCTTGGGCTGGTCGATGTAATACAGTTAGTCTTTCTCCTGTTGGATTAGAAGGCTTTCCCGAAGTCGAATGGAACGGCTGCCACTGTTCCAGAATCACTGGAGCACCCTTCTTTCTTCGTCGCCTCTCTGGGGCGACGTAGACCCATTTAGGGTCCCCAAGTAGGGCAAAATTAGCCGCAGGGGTACAGAGAATCTGCAAGCTCGCAACCGGTCGCTATCGCGCAAAACCGGGAGTTGGCATCTAAACAATTGATATGCCAAACATATTCCATCTGCTTTCCAAATTTGACTTCCAAAAAAGTCTGCCTTTTAAAAAATTTTCTTTGCTCCCTTTCCTTCAGAATGTTGTACTTAGGTGAAGACAACAAAGCTTGTCACCTTCGGTCTATTGAGATACAGATTTATACCAATCTGCTGAAAAACATACAACAGGTTGATTCTTCATACAGCTGTTACTCCTCCCAGAGACCCTCTTTATTTGAACGAGAACAAATTATGCTCTTCCTCAACAGCGGAGATTATAGCTAGTCCTCCACTTACAACAGTTCAATTATTGACATTCAGAGTTACAATGCCACTGAAAAAAGTAACTTATGACCATTTTTCACAATTACGACCACTGTGATTAAAATTTAGAGGCTTGGAAACTGAACTGACTCATGTTTATGACAGTTGCAGTGTCCCAGGGTTATGTGATCACCTTCTACAATCTTCTGACAAGCAAAGTCAAATGGGAAGCCAGATTCACTTAACAACCCTGTTACTAGCTTAATAACTGCAACATTCACTTAACAGCTGTGGCAAGAAATGTTGTAAAATGGGGCAAGATTCAACTTAACTGTTTTGCTTAGCAACAGAAATTTGGGCTCAATTGTGGTTGTACGTCAAGGACTACTTTCACTTCACCGTCGTTGCAATAGTAGCACCTAGAAAAGGACCACGGGTGAGTGGGTGCCTATCTGTGATTAAGGCCTGGGGAAGCAGGCTTGATCCTGCATGTTTAATGCTCTAGCAGGCTTGAGAAAGAGGCTTCATCCTTTTCAGACCCAGGACAACCACGCCAGCAGATGAGAGAGACCCAACAACTCCAGAAGAAAAAACAGGAGTCAACTAGCAATTAGCACTTAGCAATAGCAGTTAGATTTATATACAGCTTCACAGTGCTTTACAGCCCTCTCTAAGCAGTTTACAGAGTCAGCATATTGCCTCCCCCAACAATCTGGGTCCTCATTTTACCAACCTTGGAAGGATGGAAGGCTGAGTCAACCATGAGCCTGCAAGGCTCGAAGTGTCAAATTGCTGGCAGCCAGGAGTCAGCAGAAGTAGCCTGCAATACTGCATTCTAACCACTGAGCCAAAATGTAAGGACAACCACTATGTAGGACAAATAGGCAGAAGGCTGGCAGAATGTATCTATGAACACCAAGTCAGAAGACATGATGAAAATCCTTTAATTTCACAACATATAAACAGAGTTGGGAAAATGTGACCATCCTAGACCAAGCCAAGTCCAAAAATGCTAGAATTTCTAGAAGCTTGGCATTCTGCCAAATCAGCCATCAATAGAGACGTAGACATTAATAGCTATAGATTATGCAAAAGAGACAGTTGACAAGAAAAAAAAGCAACAAAAAGACCAAAACTCCTCCCCACCAGCAATCAGCAGTCAAATGAGTATAGATTAACTCCAAGATTAACATCAGACCAACAATCAAGTAAACCAGTGGTTCTTAACCAGGGCGATATTGCCCCCAGGGGGCAATTTCATTTTTCAGGGGGGGCGATGGAACGAAAGGGGGCGACGTGGGGGCGAAGGAACAAAAAGGGGGCGATATGGGGGCGATAGAGCGAGAAGTTTGGGGGGCATTTTTGAGACTTTTTCATACAGTGAATGGCTGTATATCTGTCGTACAAAAACATCAGATAGCTCGCTATTAGTGGATTGAATTGTGTTTTCAAATGTTCCTCCAGCTAGCTTCAGTACAGAACGCCGTACATATGTAAATACGCATTGCTTATCTTCATGCGTGTTGTGCTGCAGCCTCTACACACACAGTGGCGCACCATTAGCCAGAATATGGGAGATATGGGGAAAAGACTGGAAATAAATTATTTGCATCGATATGTCCTGATGAACAATTTTAAAGAAAACAAAAAAAGGATAAACTGAAGAATTATTTCCCATGTTGTGATTGAGAGGTTATGTTGCGGGAGGGGGGCGATGACAACTTCCTCATTGGCTCAAGGGGGCGATTCGTTCAAAAAGGTTAAGAACCACTGAAATAAACAATACCCCAATCAAGAAATTGCCAAAGAAGCCAACAGCAAACAGCCCAACCAAAGAATCGCTAAGGCCACCTCCACCAATACCGACAGACCAGGCCTCTTAGAATATAAACTGAGAGCAAACCCCACTCCTTATTAGCACTGATGATGTTACCTAGTTTGGGTAATGAAAAGTCTATAAGGAAACAATCAAGCTGAGAGAACACCAAGGACTCCTAGAGAATTATCTTGCGTAGATTGGAGAATGGATCTTTCCAGGAAGAGCTGAAGAAACAAACTCTTTCCGGCTTCCACCAGTCCCTTCCAGCTGGGATTCTCTCCAGCTTTTCCACACTAGAAAGCCTCCCAGACAGGACTAGGACACTTCTGACCTTACCCTAAACCTGAAAATTGCTTCTTAAAATTATGCGCTCTCCTATGCTAAGTCCAGCGTTCTCCAATTGCTGCTCTGCAAATGGTTTGGGAATTGAGTCCCCAGCCTAGCTGACATATTCAAAAAGGCTTTGGGTAAGAATGCAGCTATCATCTTTTATGTCAAACACGCATCTCCTCAGGCAAGCCACCAAAATATAAACTGACAGCAAACCGCACTCCTTACTAGCTCTGATGATGCTACCTAGTTGGGTAATGAAAGGTCTGCGAGAAAACAAGTAAGCTCAGAGAGTGCCAAGGACCCCTCATGTGCAGCCAGAGCTACACATATTCTCCTTTATTAGTAACCTACCTTCCGTGCAAATGACGCGCGGGCGAGTCAGAGGAGAACCGGCACCCGCCGCCGCGCTGCTTGCGGAGGAAAGGCTGGAGCCCTCGGAGGGTCCCACGAGGCGAGAAGAGGCGGGACTGCCATGGGGGCTGAAGCACCCTGGACGGCGGGACTGGACGCCTCTGGCCAGGGAGCTGCGATCAGGCCCGGCCAGCAGCCCAGGGCTGCCCCTCGGCGGGCGGCTGCGACTCCCCTTCTCCCTCCCTCACCTGCCTCCCTCCCCACCAAAGCCTCGGTCGCCGCGGGCGGCAATGAGGCTCCCTGCACGGCCTACCCCGCGTCCAGCCTCCCTCATCTTTCCCCAGACGCAGAACTCTCTCCGCTCTGGCGTCACCGGAAGCGGCCCTTCTAGCCCCGCGGAGACCATCGGAACTCGCTAGGCCGGTTTTGCTTTCCGACTCGATGGTGAGGAGGATTCCTGGGCATTTTTATTTTATTTTTTCATCGAGGATCGCAGTCGCAAGCCCTTTCCTGGGTGCTTAAGTTCAAGGATTCTTCCGGCTGGCATTAGACTCGTAACTGTAGAGTTATAAAAGAATGCGAACTTCTGGATTCGCTTTGATGATTCTTCTTCCCCCCTCCACTTCCCTTTTGGGGTAGGGCGGAGTTTTAGGGCGGAAGTGAGTGAACGAAGACTTCAACTCCCAGAATTCCTCAGCCAGCTATGCGGAAGAAATCGCGCATTCCGAATTGCCTAGAGATGGTAGGACATTTAAGGCAGTGTTTTTCAAGTTTCGAACTTTAAGAGGAATGGATTTCAAATCCCAGAAATCTCCAACGAGTTAGTTTAGAAAGTGCTGGGTCGTGACGTTCAGATCATTTTGCGGACTTTAGCATACCTAAGCCAGCAGTGTTTATTCAATGCAACTGGAAAGGGAAACCCGTGCAAAAACGTGTAAACCTCCGTTCAGTTCACAAGTCTTAAAGTTGCCAAATTTGGAGAGCCCTGTTTTTTAAGACAAGAGCCACCGCGCCAGCAGATAAGGAAGCGATCGGCCGCTGCTAAGGGATGTGTGGCGACATACATTCCGCCTGACACGCGTGTGCGCAAAAGAGCATCAAGGCCCCCACATTTCAACCCTGAGCTACAAATATTCTCCTTTATTGTCTTTCTGAACGACAATCAGCCCTCGGGCGATGCAGATTTTGATGCTTTTATATGACAAGTGGCACGGATGCCAAGACTTGCAAGCACGCAAGCTGTAATATATTTAGTGGTGGAAAATAGAAGCGGGAGCTAATTTAATGACTGTCCTGAGCAGTAATTGGATGAAGCGTCATACTGGCTGTAAGAAGCTATGAGCGATTTTTTGCACGCGTGCCGAGCTTATGCACAAGGGTTAAACAGAGACGAGACACTTCTCATCTGACTCACTCTGCATCAAAACCGGTCACAGCGCGGGTGGAAAACTGCAACGGCCGCTGCGTTGCCCGCAAAGGAACAAGAATTTAACCAGGGAAGAAGCCTTCGAGGCTTCGCGAGGGGTGACAGGGTTGCCCCCGGACTGAGGGTACATTTGCCGTTGGGGGGGCCGGCACGTGTTTTGAAAGACTGGGGGTTGCGGGGGGATGTCACCGTGTAGTCTTAAGAGCTCTGAGAAATATCCAACCTAGCTGGACCAACCCGCTTTGCTTTCTTTATTCGATTCCACTCCCACCTCTCCGTTCCGTCATAGAGCCAAGATCTCTAGCGAAAACTAACATACCAAAAACTAACATAAAAGACGGTTAAAGACCACGCTACGTGTCTTGTTGGAAAAAGCAATGATTTTTCAAGAGTGGGAAATGAGTTCTTTGTGGATCGAGTATATTGGCCAACCTCCACAGGCTCTGCTTTAAAGCAGTGGTTCTCAACCTGTGGGTCAGGACTCCATTTGGGGTCTAACGATGGGGGGTCGCCAAACAACGCAGTCCGCCATTTTTTCCCCCTTTTCCTTAGATGTGCTACTCCCTTTTATTCTATTGGCTTTTGAAAGCCAATAGAATAGATCTCTTGAATAGAGTCTAATTCTATTGGCTTTCAAAAGCCAATAGGAATTGTCCAGGCTGTCTCTGCCCTTCTGAGCCCACCAAAAGTCCCATTCTGTAAACGGTGCTGCACCAGTTGAGTAGTCCTTGACTTACGACCAATTGAGTAGTCCTCGGCTTACGACCGGTTGGGGGTCGCGGCATTAAAAAGGTTGAGAACCACTGCTTTAAAGGCTTCACAACAAAGCTTCAGCAGATGGCAGCACAACGCCCAACTTGGCTGAAGCTCAGCTGGTGGACCTCTGGCTGTTGGCCCCTTTTGTCGATATTTTATTTATTTTATTTCTTTAGCTGACCTTCTCAAACGAATGACTCTGGGCAAGGAACAATTATAAAATAATTAAAAAATAATTAATGATATAATACAAAATAATATATATATATCAGCCAGAAGAAATGTGATCAAAGATATAATTATAGCTCTTTATGAGTAAAATATATGTGTTCAAGAAAGTTGCACTAATGCAGTTGCAAAGGATCAAGCTAAAATTATTTGCAAATGGACATTGTGGAGCTCAGAATCACTTGTAAAGCATCACTCTGACTGATCCCATTTCAGATTAGCTTGCTGTGGGATACCAGATTGAAGCCATGGTAAGGATTCAAAAGATCCAGTAGTGTGGCTGTGCCTCCTCTGCTTCCACAGGAGACTGAACAAAGGTTGAAACAGTGAATTTTTTATTTGAGTAGAAGTGCAATGGATTGCACTTTCAAAAAGGCAATAGGAACAATGTGCTATCCATCCATCCATAACAGGGGATTGTGATAGTTTAGGATAGAAACATAGAAAGCTGATGGCAGAAAAAGACCTGGTGGTCCATCAAGTCTGCCCTTTGAGTTTTTAATTTATTTTATTTTTAAATGTTTTGTCAGATGGCAGACATGTTAATATAATATAATAATATAATATAATATAATATAATATAATATAATATAATATAATATAATATAATATAATATAATATAATATAATATAATAATGTTGGAAGGGGCCTTAGAGATCTTCTAGTCCAACCCTCTGCTCAGGCAGGAAACCCTATACCATTTCAGACAAATGTGTTCATCTCCACCATGTTTAAACTCAGTTACTTATGACTGACTTATCACCTCTGCTGAAAGTTGAAGTGAAGTACAACTGTCTAATGTTATTTTTGAACTTCCCTCCTGTCAGTTTGAAGTTATGCAGAGTTCTGATATCAACAAGAAAAGCCCTGTGGATGTGTTCTTAGGGACTGGCAGAGACGTCCAAAGTTAGAAAGAGAGAGATAACATTTTGTCATTCCTGAGATGTTTGCAGTTTTCATAAACAATTGGCTCAGTGCTATTCTTACTCTCTTCCATTTTTTTGCTATAGAAGGAAACATTTGTGAAAAAGGGAACATAAAATCCTTGTTCATAGCTAAACATTTCAGAAAGAGTGAGTGTTGCATTGCCAACAGTGAGAGCATGAGGTAAAATGGCCGCTTTCTACAGACCTGCAAAGTTTGTGCTAGTGGTTTTTATATCTAAGGCAGTGATGGCGAACCTTTTAGAGACTGAGTGCCCAAACTGCAACCCAAAACCCACTTATTTATCGCAAAGTGCCAAGGACACATCAGCATTGTGGTGCTCTCATGGGGAGCGGGGGGCGTGGCCCACTGGGTGGACATGGCCGCTGAGTGGGCATAGCTGTGGTGGTCATGGCAGACTGGGTGGGCATGGCTGGGTGGGCGGGCCGGGACCTGGTCAGCAGGGACTAGTCCCTCGCCATCTCCGGAGCATCCCCACATCCCGTGACGGTGTGTGTGCCCAGAGAGAGGGCTCTGAGTGCCGCCCCTGGCACATGTGCCATAAGTTCTCCACCATTGGTCTAAGGTGAAAACTCTTCTCAATTTATGATAGGAGAGGTTGATATTGAATTCTGAAACTCTCCCAGGAATAAGTGGGTGTAGGCTCAGGGCTACCAAGCCTCAAAATGCCACGTTTGATGTTGACGATGAAACATTTTATCTACAGATCAAACATGGTGTTCAGTGATCTCAATGTCCCATCACTGGTATGGTTGATCCACCTACACAAGTAACAAGTTGATTCCTGAAATACAGACGTGTGATTAAATTAAAAACCCAATTGCCCACAGATTTAAAAGTCCCTTCTTCTCTTTCCATGCCTTTGCTGACAGACTTGGAGTAAATAGGCATGGTTCGGCTTTGGCTACTTATATTTTATCTTCTTCTTTTCATCACAATGGGAGGTAAGTCCCTAATAAAAATAGAGATATCTCCACTCTATTATTCCCACACCCACAAATGTCAATTATACCCAAAGCTCTCTGTTAAAAATTACTCATGGCCACCCAGGTCTAAGAGAATAAAGCATAAAGCCTGGGAGTTGAGGGCTCAGCAACAAAAAAATATAGTTGTTATGTCTGTTAGCGTATTAAGATATAGAAGTCTTCATTAGGATCATTGGGAGACAGTAAGTTTAAATTCCCCCTTTCTACTAAAGATCTAATATAGCCAAGGGCCCTCCCTACTTTGCTTCTAAAGAGTGAAAATGGTGATTTTGGCTGCATTGGAGTTGAGCCCTTTACTTCTGGCACTTAAATCATATGTCTTTTAAAAAGCCTAATAGGTTCCCCTGCCAGGTGCTAATCTGTAACTAGAGGCTATCTTCATGGAATTAGGGGTCTCTTTTGTCAGATAGGCTGAGAGCAGAAGAAGAAATCCTCTTTACCTTTTATGATATCTTGTGGGGTTAGTAATTAATGTGACTGAAATGGATACCTGGGCTTTTCCAGTGAAGTTTGCACCTATGCACTAGGAATTGTAATTAGCCCGTCTGAGCCCAACATTGATAAGGTATTTTACAGAACAGATACTTGCAGAGATGTTTAAACTAAAGATTATCTACCATTAATACTTGTTCCTTTTCAACTGTTTGTATTAGTAATATATAAATAGCTTGATGAAGCTCTGGTGGCGCAGTGGTTAGAATGCAGTATTGCAGGCAAACTCTGCCCACAGCCTGGAGTTGAATCCTGTTTCCGGGCTCAAGGTTGAACTCAGCCTTCCATCCTTCCGAGGTTGGTAAAATGAGGACCCAACTTGTTAGGGACAACATGCAAATAACGCTGACATTATACTGTACACTACAGCACTGTGGGGCAGTATATAAGTCTAAATGTTATTGCTATTGTTATTGATACAGATTTCTATATCTCTA